GAGACATTGTGAAATAAAGGAGACGTTTAAAGATACCAGCCATTGTGCTTTGGTGTTGGGTTTGCCTGGACTATACTGGTGAGTTAAATGGTGGACTGTCGTTTTAAAACAGCTTTAATCTCCTGAATGTGACAGCAGCTCATGTGTAATCTACACTAAACACTTTATGAGGCATAAAATTATTCGAGGCTCCTCCTGGGCGTGAGCACATGAAGACGTTCTTCAGCTTCTGCTGCCGTTTACTCTTGTAAACAACCACAGCAGTGTAAATTCAAATAGATGATTGTGTGAAGGTTTATTAGACACCGATCTCATGGGTGTCTATAAAGTGTTGGAGCTGTTTCAAGATGGCAGGAATATGATCTGGTCTTGGGTGCATGGACCACAGACATCATATACGTAGACGCCTCGTGGACTGGTGCTGCCAATTGGAGCCGCCGTAGTGGCCGGCCGCCATCTTAGACGGGTCTTCATTCACCCCGATGCATTCATTTCTAAAGAGGAAAGTGCTTACCCAACTAAAAACACATTTAATTACGCTGATCACAAAATCAGAGTCATGATATGGCATGATAAGAAAAATAGAAATAGAAATACATAAAATAAATAAAAAAAGAAAATCCCATCAGGTAGGCTAGAAAGGTGAATAGTAATCCAATGTGCTCTGTTTTCAATCGTGCACCACAAAAACGGGCATAGTTGCCCACCCTGTGTTGACTCCAGCTGGGTTTGGAGTGTGGGGGACCCAACCAGTATGCCGGTGACACTGTTACGCTCTCCAGTGCCCAATGGGGCGTCTACATATTCATGTCTATGGCACGGACTTTGTCATCAATTCCCGGAGGGAACAATCTCTGTTTCTCTAAACTAAAGTTGTTCGGAATAGGAAAACGCCCCCCAAAATCCAAATGGATGGAATTATTTACCTAACAAAATAAATAAATAAAAACTATATTATAGTTTAAAGTTTATTTTAGCCTCTGTTTTTTTTTCTATTTTTCCACATAAAGTTTCATATGAACAGTTAAACCTGACGGCCACATTTGTGCATGAATGTATTTCAGCCTTAATAAAGGAAGCTGAAATTCATCAACACAAGGAAATTATAGCTTAATTGTAAAGTCTTAATATCTGGTAATTTTTTACTACACACTTGTTTAAAACTAATGCAAGATGGGCAGGAAACATGAAATGCCCTGTTTTTACCTTGAACGGGTGGTATTAGTCACCACGCTGCTTAGAATTTGACAGCGAGGTCGTTTTTGAGCAAATCACTCATCATTAAAGTCACAGTCACACACCAGATTACCCTTTGTGCATCAATAATTTTATTTATTAATGTTCTTTTACGTGTTAATGTGTGTTTGACTCAGCCGAAGAAATATGTCCATTTGTCTGACAATTAGTGGAAGACGTGTAGCAGGAAATGACAAGAGAAAGCAAGTTTTCTTATTTACATGTGAAGTTATCTTTAATTTGATGCACACATGAGAGGTATGTTAACAGATTCTGCACAGCGGGTATCTGTTCATCAAAGTTCACACCACAAGTTCTGAGTGTCTTTCCTTGTTGATGTTCTTTGTACTTTAAATAATTCCTTGGGGTAATGTCGGCTGGTCCCGGTTGATCCGCTGCATCAAGCAGTCGTTTTGCTGCAAATAAATAATGAGTGATGGACACACACGGACTTCTTAATCAGAATAATTTAAAGGAATTAGTTAAACATCACTTCAAAGCTGCCTGGTCATGTGGTCATTAGTAACCAACCATTTTCATCTTCTGACAAAGTTAAACCTACATTTAGTCTGAGCAGAGAGCAGAGCAGAAGGAAAAGAAAACATTGCTTTAGAAAGAGGAAACGTCTAAATCCGATCATATGAGATTATTTGAACAGCTGATAAAGTTTGGATTTTAGTGATTTGTGTAAATAGTCTCTTTTAAAGTCTAATTGTTCCTTTACCAGCCAATTAGCGATGGAGAAGGCAGACAAATCTGTGAGCTCATATTTCATCAGCTCTGGCAGCGTGCATCTGGACTCCCTCATGTTCAAACAGATTTCTACTCATTCTTAAGCAGACCGGGCCAATCTCGAGGATTTAACTAATACTGACTGGGTTTGCCACTGTAACACACTACATGCTGCAGGGCTCTGATTGGATGCAATTCTAACCGGCTGCTTCCAAACCTGTTCGGATTTGTCTCTGGCATTTAGATTACAGTGAGCTAAAACCAGATGCAATCATGTCAATATGCTTCCTAGGTTATAAGGAGAAATTATGGAGACATTTATTTTGGTAAACATCAAAATCTTGATCATTTCCCCAGAATAATCTGAGTTTTTTAGAGTTTAGGAAGCCTGCCAGCAACAATGTACATCAGTGGCGATCACATTCTGTGGAAGAAAATGCACACCAAAATTACGTCATTGTTAGGTTACCATAAAAAAGCCCCAAAACATTTTTGTAACATTTAGACAGGTTTAAAAACACAAGTAAATGTCAAATAATTCAATTATATTTTCTTGGGTGATTAGGTTCTTCAAGAAAACATGAATGTTGCTTTAAAAGAAGAGAAGAGCTGCTGTTGGAGCTTGGGTGTTCATGGGGTCAGTCTGAATAAAAAACTACTTTTGTAAGACTGTTGAAGCTTGGAAAATGAACCATATGTAAAACATTTAATAAATACTGAGCCACAAAGCATATGAGAATCCATATATATATATATATATATATATATATATATATATATATATATTAGAGATATTCTTTGAGCATGCCTCACGACATATTTATGTTTTGCCCTTGTTCTGCCATCTATTTGGCATCGACTTTTAACACCCTTTGAAACACCACCATCAGATGCCCATTAGTTTTGCCTTCAGAAGGGTAAGAAACATTGTTTTCATTATTTGAACTAAAATCAGGATTGAAATGTAAATTTGATTAACTGCACAGCTCTAACTTATACAAATGCCATTTACACACTAACATCGGCTCCACTCCGCTCTGCCCGCCTCAGCCTGGCCGCATCCATTCCACACTGCATTAGGAGTGAGGATGTGATTGAGCAGTGTCTGGCAGCATTGTGTGCGTGCTTGGAAGTGTGTGTGTGTGTGTGTGTGTGTGTGTGTGTGTGTGTGTGTGTGTGTGTGTGTGTGTGTGTGTGTGTGTGTGTGTGTGTGCGCGTGTGTGTGTGTGTGTGTGTGTGTGTGTGTGTGTGTGTGTGTGTACGCTCTCCTCATAGCAGTGAGAGACAGAGTAAAACAACTTCAGTCAGAGGCTCGTTAGCTCCACAGCATCCAGAATGATAATGTATCACGCATGCGGGATGCCACCGCGTCTGATTCTGTCAATCGGAGGCTCCCCCTAATGGTAGGCATGATTTTGAGTAGCTAATCAGTCAGCAGTGGGCGTGTTGGGCCTGTTTGGCTCCAGACAGACCATCTCGAAGTGAAAAGACGTCCGATTGCGCGCAGGAAAATCCAAGTCTACCTAAATGAGAATGCTCTAAACCCAGCCCAGGTGTAGTGAAGTGTGTAAGTGCCATTACAAGCTGCATGGTGGCACAGCTGGCAACACTGTCTCCTCACAACAAGTATGTTGCAGGTTAAGGGCTACTTTGTGACTTTTTCATACTTTTAAATCATTTTCTTGAGCCAGTATGTGCTAAAATGACCCTTTACTGGGTTAATCAAAGGACCCCTATCCCCTATTGCCCCCTGGAGCCAGAATATTCCACTTGCAACTTCCGACTGGCAGGCCACTCTCTTGGGACTTACCTGGTGCTGCAGTCTGGTTCCAGCATGTTTCCTGTAAGTTTTAGATAATGAACACAGCCGATTTGTTTAATTTAGTGATGACATACTCCTATAGACATTAAGGAAGGCTGAGAAGGCATTTAAGCTGTTAGATTAAGGTGCTAAAAAGATGAAAACGGATACTGGTGGCACTAAAAGCAAGCCAAAACCTCCTAGTTCCCCTTTAAAACTTGGCTGCAGTCATTACAAATGCAGTTAGCGTGTTCTCATCATGCATTTGTGGGTTTTCTCCCACAGACCAAAAACACGTCAGGTTAATTAAATTAATTATGTTTTGTTTGATATAAAACAAATGCCAAATGAATAAAAACAAGAATGTTAAATTCCTTGAATTAAAAAAAGAGGTTCATGTCAGCTTTAAGAACATGATTTTCAATTTGAATAAGTACTTCAGGTGTTTTCAGATAAAAAAAAGTGACACATCGTTAATCAAAGGTGCACCAAAAATGTGGCCTGTGATGAGAGTTGGCCAGTATTCAGCATTTTCATCCATGATCCTCCAATGTCAAACTTAAAAATTCTATTTATTATCATTGGGGCCCTGCGCACCCCATTACCAAGCCAAGCAGAAATAAAAGTGTTGTTTTAACCAAACATAAATCTTGAAGTGTGCTCTTATTCCAAGAATTTTCATTAACTTTGCACCACATTGACATTTGTCTAGTGTTTCCTGTAAGACCGAGCGGTTTTTAGCTTACAGCTCAGGGCTGTTGATGGGCGTGTTCGGCTCAGAAGAGATCAAATTTTGTCTGAGTCCTGCTGATTCATTCTCTGCAGTCACAGACGCCTCATCATCACCTTAGATTTCCAGTTGAACAGATGAAACCGGAAGCCATGGAAGCAGTGGATATGGGTGTTTTTAAATTATCTTTCCCTTTAAATAAAACGAGTGATAGAAAGATGAACAGAGTGACCTACTGTCATATGAACCGCCCGTTCTGCAACCACTCAGCCTGTATCTAATTGAATTAAATGGGTTTACAGACAACAGCCTGTATAATTAGTACATTGTCCTCATTAACACAACAACCATTCACAAGACCAGACTTTGTCACTTTTTATTGATTTGTTATGTGCTATTTAACTCTAAATGTGCATAATTAAAAATTCTTTTTAATAACATAATTTTTTATAGTGAAAAAAGGCTTTTGTTGACTAAATTGCCTTTTCTGCTCCATTATAGGCTCTTTCCCGGGGAGAGAGAAGAACCAAACACATTTTGAGGAGCAGAAAGACGACAAAGCAGTGGGAAGAAGATAGAGAAATTCGGTGATGAGTATCTGCAGCAAAAAGACCCTTTGCAGCAAATGAACTAGGAGATTCTTGAACATTGTGTTTGGAAGCAAAACAGGAAACGGCCTCAGTGGGAGCGGCACTCCACTGAGAGGAACCAGAGAGTCGGAGACGGAGTAAAGTGCACGGTTGCTCAGGTGGAGCAAGATGGGAGTTTTGATAGCGAAGCGCCAGGGCTTAGGCTTGCTGAGGGCCTTGCTGGTCCTGTTGGGGGTTTCTGTGCTCTGCAGCGTTGCATTAGGAACAAGGAAAGGACATCCTTCGTTGGATCACAGGAGCCACAGACACAGACATCCAGGTGAGATTTATTTTTTTTATCAAGCATCATTAAAGGTATTGGCCAGACTTGGCATTCAAATAGTAGAAATACAGTGTAACTACACTTTATCATCTATATAAATATGAACTGGGTTTAGGTTTTCATTTTGTTAAGGAATTTTGTCATAAATCATTACAGAAAAACAAAACACTCTCCACCAGAGAGTGAAGAACTGTGTTTTGCGTACGTCACTCCAGCACGTAAAACAAGGTAGCTGATGTTGCTAGTATTGTGAATAACTGTATTTTGTTTACTTCTGTGCACTTAATTATTCTGGAAAATTGCGTTTATAGCTGCAGCAAAAGGTCTGAGCCATATGTCCGTGTCCAACACACATTTTTAAATAACACAGGTCTGATCTAAAATATTAACCTACATCTATAAATCCATCAGGAACCACAACGCTGCTTCTGGACTCCAGAGTCACGTTAGCATGTCCCATATTACCCATATTAGAGTAACAATTTTCTACCTTTGCTGTTATTATCCTTCTGTCTCTTTTCTCATTCTTGCCCTTGAATTATTTTAATTTCTCAGTCTCCTCCTTTAGCTCTCTTGCTTCTCTTCCCCTGTTTTTACTTTGACTTTAGTTTCTTTCTTTCTCATCTCCTCCTTTTCTAATTTTGTTTCCCTGTTTTATGTTTGGCTTTAGTTTGTCTCTTTTCATCCAACCATTTTATTTCGTTTATCCTGATTTTGGTCGTGGGGGCAACAGCCTGAGTCGAGAGGCCCAGACTTCCCTCTCCCCAGTCACTCAGGCCAGCTCTTCCATGAGAGATCCCAAGGCGTTCCCCGGCCAGCCAAGAGACATAGTCCCTCCAGCATTTACTGGGTCTTCCTTTAAGTCTCCTCCCGGTTGGACATGCTTGGTAAACCTCATCAAGGAAGCATCCAGGAGGCATACTATTCAGATGCCCGAGGCACCTCAACTGGCCCCTCTCGATGTGAAGGAACAGCAGGTCTACTTTGAGCCCCTCCCGGATGAATGAGCTTCTCAGCCTATCTTTAAGAGAGAGCCCAGCCAGAATACTCATTTTGGCTACTTGTATCCATGATCTCCTTCTTTCGATGACTACCCAAAGCTCGTGACCATACATGAGGGTTGGAACATAGATCAACTGGTAAATTGAGAGCTTTGTCTTCCGACTCAGCTCTCTTTTCACCACGATAGATCTATATAATGCCCACATCACTGCAGGCAGGATATTTTTATGTTAGTTCATTTAAATTGGTTGCATTTTTTTATCAGTATTGCCAAAGTGGCTTGGTAGAACATGTTGTAACTCTTGGTTTGTTTCATCAACAATTCCAAATTTATGTTGTGATGGTGATTTGTTATGCATACTTGATGGCTCAGATGCACATTCAAGAAAACACCATTCTAAAGTCTGACTTTGGTTGCTATGGCTTCCGCAAATCTTGTCATCACTGATTCAATATCCAGTTATTTCCTGACATCACGCTTGATGGAGACAACAGCATGGGCAAATGGAATTGTCCATTGTAGCTTGGCAACAGGGGATACCGAAACACTTTCACAGAAGGCCGTCTGATTCCATCGCACTGGTTTTTAGAATCACAGGGTTAATTCATTTTAGAGGAATAAAATCACCTTAAACATATTTGATAAGTGTTAATCACAGGGCCCTTAACTCATTCACTGCCATTGACGACTAAACCGTCATTTTTAAATCCAACCGTTCACTGCCAATGATGACTAAAGTCGTCATTTGCATTTTTTTTTTTTTTGCTGTGTGGGCATCGGAATGAGCCCCCGCACCGTGAGAACAAACATCCCAGCTCTAAAGCCGATCTTCATCCGCATACGTCAAACGTCACGTGATCAGGAAGCAGAAAATCCATGCGTTAGGAGATCGTTTTGGGCCGCTGCTGTAAAATAAAGTGAAGCGCGAATCGGAAAAGTTCTGCCGATCACAATTCAACAACGGATTATGAAAGAACGGATAAAGCTCGAAACACGCGGATTCTTCCTGATGTAAGAGGTGAGTCTCCGCTTTGTTTTGGTTGTTTTGGCGTCAACATCATCCTAGCACGCAACCTTCTGTGACTCTTAAAAATGCTGCAAAAACAGTGAGAAATGCTGGCAGCGAAGGGCTTCACCGGTCAGGAAATGGCTCGCAGCGAATGAACTAACATTTTCAAGACCCAAGGCAACCGCCTACCTTTGCCCAATGGTAGTGCCGCCCCTGCATCAAAGTAAAATTAAAGATGGCTGACACAGTCAACTGGCCTTAAAGAATACATCAAATGTCTACAACTCAGTCAGTTCTACAGATACTAGGCAAAATTGTTGTTTTGGTTAGTCAGTAGCTGAGGATAATCCACGCAATTTATCAAAGTCACATGAACCTTGTTGGTCAGCTAAACTTGTCAAGAACAAGAGGATGGACTTTATATGAAATTAACTGGCTGGTAAAGCTAATTAGCAAACTCTAAAATGGATTTAACTTTGGTAATCAAACAGTTAATATGTTAAAACAACACCTAGCATGTTTCCCGCTTCTTCTACTGGTTGAGAGCAGAACTACAACTATCATAAACTGGGGCCAGTTGTAGCTTGCACCAAAAACAAACTAATGCTAACAAGAGCCAAATTATTGTACTATAGTAATAATAATAATAATAACAATAATAATAATAATAATAATAATAATAATAATAATAATAATAATAATAGACTGGATTTATACACCTTTTAGACACTCAAAGTGCTTTCCATTATTCACTCACTACCAGTGATGGTAAGCTACTATGTAGCCACAGCCACCGTGGGGGCGGGTTTACAGAGGCCAGGCCGCCATTTTGCTCCATCGACCCCTCTGACTAGTACCAACACAGGTATGTCGGGTGAATCGTCTTGCCCAAGGACACAAAAGCAGAATACCCCCTGGCAGGAGCTGGAATCAATCCCACAATCCCCCAACCATGAGGCCAGCTCAACCTCCTGCTGCACTTAAATAAATCATGAAGAAAAAGATCCACACTGTTGGACTAAAAAAAATTATTCCTTACAAGTCCAGTAGCAACAAAGCCAGGTCACCATCAGCCCTTGATTTCATAGCCTCCTTCAGCTCCCTCAACCTAACGTAGGCCACGCCAATGTTCACTCTGGTTTTAGCTCTTTGCTTCACCTCTGAAAACTATTTTTTTTTTACTTCCTGGCTCTGTTCCCCCTCTGTGTGATTCATGAGATCACACGTGAAGTGTATACCAAAGCTACAATAACTCCACCATTTCTCAACATAAGATGACCTCAGTGTGTATTTCTGGTGCAAAAAGCTGCAAGTGTGCATGTGACGTTGAAGGGATTTTGAGCTTTCAATTTGTCAGTTATTGATTGCCCCATTTGTTTTTAAGCTTTTTGTGAAAGCCATTCCAAGTAAGTCATTCCTGATACTGTTTTATCATAAATCAATTATAAATTGTTCTTTTTGCTGAAATGCAAAAGCTCTTCATTCACATTTCTTGCCAGGCACACTGCCCACACTACATGTTTTTTTTACTTCTGCTGACCAGTGTTCTGCTTGAACTTGGCTGCAGTTAGAACACAACCTTCTCCTCTTGGCCTCGCAGCAGTCGCACTGCGACCAACAAAGGTTAAATGCCTTCCTAAGAGCTTTCTAAAACACAATTTGTTGAAGTGTCTATTGTTCACACAATCCACCCACATTGTCTCAGCTGGGATTTACACCATGACCCAGAATTCAAAAGCAGACCTCTCCATTCATGAGGTGACTGCTGCCCGCCCACTTTTAAGTTTCATCTTTACACGAATAAAATAAAAAAATCTAATAGAGTGAAGTGCTGCTCTCGAAATCATCCATCCCATAAAGAGTGAACTCAATCAGTATTTAATCTGCCTCCCGACTGTTTCAAATACCAGACCAGAACCCATTTATAATGATAACGAATTATGTGAAATAAACTGAAATATGTTTTTGTGTCTTCTTCAGGTCATTTATCGCTGCATAGACACAGACAGCGAGCAGGGAAAGAAGGCCAGGTACTACACCGGTCCAAACGAGGATGGGTGTGGAATCAGTTCTTTGTCATTGAGGAATATACTGGACCGGACCCGGTCCTGGTGGGCAGGGTAAGTTTTTAGAGTTTTCCCGTGAAGTGTTTGATTCAAATGGAATTAGTAGCTGAATAATAGTTTAATGGCTGCAGTGCCCTCCAGTGACAGCCAGCACACAAGGTGACAGCCAACTCCCAATAAGATTTAAATGAGCTTTTCCCATTTATCAGGGTCTAAGAGTGAGATGGAAGAAGAGAGGGGTCACGCTGACATTCTAGTGTGGATGATTGGTGGTTTTCCTCCACAACAACACCATCACTCAAACTGAGCAGAAGTTTTCATAGCACAGAATAAATGATGATTGCAATGCATCTTATTTCATAGGCATGGGGCTGTTAAGACGGAACAAGCGCTTAATTGAATGTTGAACAATACTCATTTTTCAGCACAATATTCTAAATCTCTATTGGCATTCGCCTGTCTAACGTTGAACCTTCCTAGCCTTTTTTTCCCTTTTGTTTGTAGACTTGAGAAACTGAAGCCTAATTTAACACCTACCTGCCATTCTGACTGAACATTTTACAGCTTTTCTCTCCTGCGTGGCAGTGCAATTTATTCATTTAAAATATTGATGTTGGTTCCGCCCGTGCATTCAGCCCATGGCGTAAAACAATGTTTTGTTTTACTTTTTTCTCCTCAGCTCCACTCAGATGTCGACAAAGGGGATGGAACCATCAAGTACATACTGTCCGGCGAAGGTGCAGGAACGATATTTGTTATTGACGACAAAACGGGCAACATTCATGCCACGAAAACTCTTGACCGTGAGGAGCGAGCTGAGTACACTTTAACAGCTCAGGCTGTGGCAAGAAACACCAATGAGCCTCTGGAGCCTCCATCGGAGTTCATAGTGAAAGTTCAGGATATCAATGATAATCCGCCAGAGTTTCTACATGGCCCGTACTACGCCATGGTGCCTGAGATGTCCAATGTTGGTGAGTATGGAGGAAAAAAAAGATTTAAATAAACAATGGATCAGAGCAGCAATCCAGAATTTTACCACTTTCAGGAATGATTTATGATTTTATTTTAGAAATGCGTATAAGTGATAGTTTTACCTTGTATGATGGAGGCAATAGGTCTTTTATTTTTGCTAAGCCCATCCCTTGTCCTTATAGAGCCCCAAGCAATTTGAAATGACCGCCTCTCAGCATTAGCTAATAGCGTTCAACAGCCGCCTACATACTGATGTCAATCACAGAACGTGCATTAGACTAATACATTCCATATATATATATATATATATATATATATATATATATATATATATATATATATATATATATATATATATATATATATATATACATTCCATATATATACATTCCATATATATATATATATATATATATATATATATATATATATATATATATATATATATATATATATATATATATATATATATATATGAACAGTGTGTATTAGCTCAGCGGGCCAGTTAGAGGTGCACATTCACGAACGAGCGGAGTTGCTACCAGCTGTAGTCATGGAAATAGGGTTAGGGGATGAAAGTGTGATTCATATTTTGAGCCTCTAGATGGTACCATATGACAAAAAAAAACTCTGGATCTCCTCTTTAAATACCAAAATATATACAAATATCTTTTTTTGTCAAAACGTGTATACTGACAGGTTTAAGGAAACTAAACAACATTTTAAAGTAGAAAAGATTTTACATGTTTGCTTTTACATATCCCATTTTAATTAACAGTTTTGTTTTACTTGAACTTGTTTGAGTGAAAATTAGGACATAAAATGCATTTTTTGTTAGTTTAGAAACATTTTTTATTTATTTTTGCAGAGAGTCAATTGTAAATGAGGTCACTGAAGGAGTTCAGCTGCAGTGTTGTGTGCTAAACAGCTTTTTTTCATGGATTATTAATATTCGCTGAAACATGCACACAGGAAATGTGACAAATCAGATCAGAAAGCCCTAAAAGCAGTCACATTTGGCCTTAGAAAAGCCCTTTTACTGTTGTATTTTGTTCTGTAAAGGGGTGAGGAACATATTTGGAAAAAGAAAATAACTTAGATAAACAAGCAAAAGTTGCATCTGCGTGAGTCTAAAGCTTCTATCTAAAAATGTAATACCTTTAACTCCTTTTGGCTCAAACAAAAGACAATCACTTAAAAAACCTGTCCCAAATATGACCTGGAAACTTACTGGCTGCAGCTGGAACTTTTTTTTTAATCAAAAGCAAAAGGTTAGATTCTTTTTCAGGACACTGAAAATCTTTTGAAAGATCTCCAGGCATGCTGGTTTGGAGTTAAACTGTCTAGAAACTTTGAGCCTAGAAAGTAATTCTTACATCTGAATAATTTTTATGAGTTGTATCAAATTAGGAAAAGTACATTTCAGCAAGTACACGAAGTCGCGATCATTTGCTTGACTTTCTCGACTCCAGTTTAAAAAGATCCGTTGAACGTGGAGCGCTGCCTGGTGTTAACACGCCGCACTTATCTTTAAAATGTCAGATTTCCTCAGCGCTAAGATGAAGTGCTGGTTGAGCTCAAGATCTGTGCATTTTACCCATTATCCAATGGGTTGTGAAAGGTTTTCATGTGATGTTTCATTTAAGACATTAAAAGCAACGATATCGGAGACTGGATATTTCCATCCAACAATGATGAAATTGATGGAAATGCTGTTGGAGAACAGCCCACGTAGAGTCAGTGCAGCTGCAGTCTGTTAAAGAAGGAATGTTTTTCAATCCCTTTCAGCTGGGGAAGGCAGCTAGGCCAGCAGACACTTGGTAGCAAGATGTTTGTCAAACTGCTCTTGAACCAGATCACTGAGGTAGTCTCCCCCTGACTTGCCTGTCTTGTCTGTCCTGTAGGTACGTCAGTGATGCAGGTGACAGCTACAGATGCTGATGACCCCACCTATGGCAACAGTGCCAGGCTGGTGTACAGCATTCTGCAAGGACAGCCATATTTCTCTGTGGAGCCCCAGACAGGTAAAACGAACCATCTTTGTTGAAATCCTGCTGGAAATAGGTTAACAGACAGAAACAACTGCCAACTCCCACAGCTGAGATTAATAACTGTCCATCTAAATATAACACAAGTCACCAGCGTGTCAGGGTTAACACAAAGGGACAGGGGTTCAGTTTTACATTGACACCTCAAGACAAATTAGGGTCACAAATTTAGCAAACATGCATCTCCTGGGATTGTAGGAGGATGTCAGAGCAACCTGTAAGAGGAGGAACAGGCAAATGCCACATACAGACCATCAGTGAAAGAAAGTAAAACCAGTTTTCTGATCGTGTGCTCTCCCAAAAGAAACCTAAAACACTATTTTGTGATGCAATATTTCTACCTTCTACCACTTTTGATGTAAAAAGCTGCAGTCACCGCTCCAGGGATCATGTAGCAACACATAATTTCCTCTGAAACCGGTTAAAAAAGAGAAGGCCCTAAGGATATTCAGCTTGGTCCCTATAGAGCACAGGCCTAATATTTGGGTATGCATTAAAAAAGTAAAAATGGGGATGAAAGAAGAGAGGTTAGGGCAGAAACAGAGCTGCGTTAGGTCAGGGGGAGAAGGAAAGAACTGAGGGAGAGGCTGGGGAAGAGAACGAGAGGAAAATTGGTTTAGAGAGGAGTGAGTTCATGGAAAAGAGTGGTTAGGCCAAAGAGAGTCGGAGAGATTGGAGCAGAGTAAATCTGGCTAATCAAACAAACGTTGGGTATTTGACTGGCTCAAATCCATAGCTCGCATTTCTAATTGGTTTGGAGATTATCAGCTTTTCGTGCTGTCACACACTTTGCATATTATGACACCAGAGAGCCTCGGTGACTCTGCAGCTGGACATGTGGAGAATGAAGGAGAGCTGAACGGAGAGCTGGGTGATTTACTCAGTCACAAGAGAAAAGACTACTGAGGCTTGAAATAGTACAACAGAATAATTTTGCTACTGTTCCTATTTATTTGACTGATGAATAAAATGTTTTAGTTTCCAATTAAAATGTGTTATGCTTCATTTTCTTTTTTATCAAATGAGACATTTCATTAAAATAATGTGCTACGAATTTCATCGAATATAAAAAAACGTAACTTTTTATTGAGTGGTTTCGTAGCATGTTTGAAAAGTGTGACTTGCAACATCACCTGATCTTTTTTTATGTTCTAAACCTAAAATATAAGCCAATAGTGTTATTGTTTATTCATTTTTCAACAATGTTTTTCATAAAAAGTAGCTAAAATGAAAATGTCATTCATTCCCCAACACATTGTGCAGTCAGGACTGGGCTTTATGGTGTCTGCACAGGAATGAGTCCATGGTCCCCTCTCTTCTGTTGACATGCTTTCTTTTGGCAGAGTTAATACATGTAAAAGCTTGATTTTGGGATGGTAAAACCTCCAAAAACAGGCTAAAAACATCACTTTCACTGATGATTCACCAGAGGTCATTCTCATTGGTCACATTCAGTGAACCTCTATCTACTGAACTCAGGCAGCAACAATCAGTCGGTTAACTTTATCAAAACAGTGAAAATCGCTGCAAACATGACATTTTCTCTCTCTCTCTTTTTGTTTAAAATGTAATGTAATATCACTTAACTGTCTTGTCAGGAATAATCCGTACTGCTTTACCGAACATGGACCGAGAGGCACGTCAGGAGTATGATGTTGTCATCCAGGCTAAAGACATGGGTGGTCACATGGGGGGGCTGTCGGGGACCACTGAGGTCAAAATCACGCTGACAGACGTCAACGACAACCCTCCAAAATTCCCACAGAGTAAGTCAAGAACTCTTTTGAATCTCCCTAATGAAATACAACAGCTGCTGTATTTGTATCAGTGCAGAAGAGAAACAGAGAAACATATATTTGAATTGCTCAAGATTTATTCTGTTATTTTAAGTCATATCTCTCCATCCAACACTTGCCTTCACTTTTTTTTGTCCTCTACTGATTTTTCCTGTCAACGGTTTGTTTGTTTTTTTCCCTCCTCCTCCTGTAGCTCTCAGCCAGGGGACTCCCTGCAGAAATTCAGCTGAGTAGCTCCTAGATGGAGAGGGGAGAAAAGACAGATCAGGAGTGGAGAAGCTGAATAGGCAAGAAAAGGGGGAGACATGAACAGAAACAGTGAGGGGGGATGCTAAAGATGGGGGGGATGCAGAGAAGAAGGCGTGCCAAAGCCATCACTCCTGTTCCTGTATGTTCCAACTAGCTGACAGTGTTTCAGTTGCCTGCAAAAGCTAAAGCTGCCAAAGCAAATATCAGACTCCGTGGGCCACAACTGGACTATAGTTTTTATTTGCCAGCGAGCTTCCATCAGAGCACAAAATCCTTTTAATTCTCCAAAATGACACACTTGTTTTTTTCTTAGTTTTATTCTTTCAAACAAAACTAAAAAATGTGAAGAAGCTCAAGGCGTGTTTCTACTTCAGGGACCTTCTCTGGAATCCAGACTTGTTTTCTTGGGCCATTCTTTACTCCTGCGTATCCTCAGCAGGAGCCCAGAGCCAAAACCGACCACCGGGGCAGAAATCCTCTGGTACTTTTGAAACTACCTGGAACTTGCAGGGTGATGGTGGAACAGTCATTGGGAAACAAAATGGAACTGTAAAAGAAATGATGCAACTGTCTGCTGTCTGGCAAAGTCTTTACACCAAAATGACCTTGTAGCTCAGACCTTAAGCTGAAGACAGTTGGGTTGTTTGCCAGTCTCGTCCTGTCCGTATAACCCCATCCCCCCACCCACCCCCAAATTCCCAGTTGGGCAAAGTCTGCACCAGCCTGCACTGGTTGGGGGCAGTCAGCATGGCCAGTTGGAACGAAAATCGAACGTTTCAATTCCTGGAGCCAATTTTGGATGCAGTCAGGTGTGAACTGATTATCGACCCACCTTTAAACACGCATTGCTAACAGCCAGTGAAATAGCAATATAGGAAACAGGGCTGCTTTAGGGCAACATTTTAGACGAGGTCTGTCATTTAGTTGGCTTCGTTATCCTTCTGATCCTCTCCCAGCAAACACAGTAATTCATCAACCATGAACACTTTTGCACATGTTGCCAAGGTAAAAAAAAACTTTAATAAAATCAAAAGTTTTCCTAAACTGTTTAGAAAACAATTTTGCCCTCTAATATTCAGCATTTGTTTCCATGGATATGAGCTGCAGACAGAATGTTATATAACAAAACAACGTTGGTGGTTCGAGGTGTCAGTGTTTTTACAAACTACCTTCCCGCGTTACATCATGCATCACTGACAGTTTACATCTGTGATGCAAGGAAACACGGTGAACAACAATATGTTGCTGAAGTGGGTTCCTGTGGTAAAAAATAAGCAGAAGCAGCACAACCACCTGCAAGAACGGTCTCCCAGATGGCGTGAATGAGGACAGTGATTACTTATTTAGTAGCGGGGCAGAGTGAGGGAGAGCGAGAGGGTAGAGGCAGAATAAAATGGAAAAGGAGATATAGAGTCAAAAAGATAAACAGAAAACGTCAAAGGAAGAGACAAAAACTTGAATTAACATCTTCCACCAACATATCACGCGGAGGTTTACTTTCATATCTGCCTCAGCTTCTGAGTTACGCTGCTGAATTATGACCAAGGTGTTATTTAGATATCCCACTCGGAATGGGACTCGGAGTTCTTTATTCACACGACTGTCAACCAAAGAAAATCTCCTGCCTCCAGCTTGGGTTGTCACCAGCGTCGAGGGATAATAAAATAGAAACAAACCCTGAAGAAAAATGAAGTAGATAAAAACAGACGTAAAAGTTATACAGTATACAGCCTCTCGAGTTCCCAGCTTTCTTTCATGCCGTAGATTTTTATTTTATTTTTTCGTTTCAATCCAAGGATTCATCTCTCTATTTCTCCGTCTCTCACAGACTTCCTGTCCCTGATATTCTCTGCCTTTCACCTCATTATTAGCAGTCTTTCATTTACTACCCTGAAAACCCATCACAGCACAGACAGACATGTCTGAGAAAGACGTGAAAATGTGTCGTCCCTCCTCAGCGTTTGTCTTTATTAGTCTTGCATGACAGAGAAGGTTTTGTTAAATATCTGTAATCTATGTTAAACATCGTACATTGAAGCAGCTTCTGTCTCATTCTCATTTAAATACAAACAGTGGAGAACAAAGCAGATCATAAAAAGCATTTGAAGTGGAGAACTCTGGTGTGATGGATGTCTACGGGCTCCTATTTGAACATTTCATTTACCTTGGGTGACTTCTGGAATTGCTATTACAGAACTGTCTGTTCTCATAAAGCACCTCCGATTCACTCAATTAAAAGTCTCTTAACATGAATATGGTCTGAAATGAAATTTATGTTGGAGCTTCCATCTAAAGATTAGGTAGATGGTAGTATTATGGGCTGAAGGGAAGTCATCCAAATGAAAAAAATAAATGTAATTATGTGGTTTACGTCTGCACAGAAAGGTCTGCAGCTGTGGGTGGACATGTCAACGCCCCAGGCTTTAAATTAAGGCCCTGTCCACACGTAGCCGGGGATCTGCCAAAACGTAGATATTTTTCTACGTTTTGGCCTGTCATCCACACGAAAACGGAGTTTTTTCACACGAAAACGGATCTTTTTAAAAACTCCGGCCAAAGTGAAGATCTGCGTTTTCTCCGTGTTGGGTGTCTGCGTGTGGACAGACAAAACCGGAGTTTTAAGGTCTGCAACGTCACTTTCCGCGACAAAAAAATGCTGACATCACGTGTGCGACCTGTGTTTACACTAGCCGACAGCATGGATGCCCTCAGAGCTGCGCTCGCTTTATCAATTGTCCAAGCGCTTTTTTTTTACAAGTGGAATTACTGCTCCTTGCGGAAGACCACAGACGAAGGACGAGGTTAAGAACAGCTGAAGTACTGCCGCCTACAGGTCTGGCATGTCCTTAACAACGTATTTATCCGGGTACGTGTGGACAGAGTTTTATTTTAAAACGAGGTGGTGTGGATGCAAGTTTTTGGAGGGGCGGATATTCGTTTTTTTTAAAAAACCCGCTACGTGTGGACTAGGCCTTAATGTCACATAAACACTTTAGTGATGTCAGGTTTTTTTTTACAAAGAAATCTCTCAGCTCATCATAAGATGATGCTTTGTCAGATAGTATTCTTTATCAAAACATCACAGGACTTTTCAAATGTAGAGGATTAGTTTTGTATGTTTTTGTCCTGAAGATTGACCCAGTTATGTACTTTGGTAGTCTTTGAGTTCAGTTGTTTGTCACTGACATATTTTGCAGGCCTAGGTAAGCAATACACACGTGTGTGTGTGTGTGTGTGTGTGTGTGTGTGTGTGTGTGTGTGTGTGTGTGTGTGTGTGTGTGTGTGTGAAGGCAAAAGGGAGGGCTGTTCAAAATTCAGATTATTAGTAGATGGAAGAGGTTTATCTGGGCTACTACTTATTTATTTAGTTACTTTCATTTTTGAAGGATGGAAAAAACATGGACTCTAAAAGGAAAAATATCAACTGAGAAATGAAAAAAAAGTCATTTTTCCCCTCACATTTATTAGATTAGTAGTTTAAATGCTTAGATTTTCTAGTTTAATTTGGGAATCAACAAAAATTTTATTTTCTTCTTCCAAAAGTTACAAGGAAAAAATACATTTAGAAATAGAATATATTATAATGAAATATATAAATTGTGACACGTATTATGAATGTAATTCAATGGCTTAAAGGTAATTCAGTTAAAAAAGAAATTCAAAGTTGCCTTAAAAATGGGACACCCTAAAACAATGTATTTTCTTATATTTGCTTTTTCCTTCAGGGCTTCCGTACAATAATGAAATGTGTTTTTTTATGTAAATGTAGACTTCCTGTATGGCCTGAGCTTCATTTTAGCCTATAGCCAGGTAGAGCTGCCCGCGTGTTCTGTCATACAATATTTAACTCAACTGCCAGAAGCCGCTGAAGTTAAGCTACTTAGGAAAAGCAAGAATATGACAGGGCAAGAGCAAAAGAAAAGGGGCAAAGTGAGGGGCAGGCATGAAATGAGCTTTCTCCTAGAAAGGGACAGAGCGGAGACAAGGCAGGCGTGAGAGAAACGGGGCAATAGGGGGAGGTGAGGATGACTGAAATGATTAGAAGCAATGGAGACAGGAGAGGCAAATGAGAGATGACTAAGGAGGGAAAGATGTTAGAAAAGAAAGAAAATAAATGACATGAGGAGGAGCTTTAAAGGCAGGTACGAAGATGAAAGGAGGATAGGAGGGATTTGGTGAGGATCGATGGAGTTGTGCTGAAGTAAAGTACAGAGCTGCAGGATAGCTCGAGGGAATTTCAGTCCCCTCAGTGGCTCTGCTCTTCGTCCTGCATTTACTTAGATGTCACACGACCAAATGATTTTCATGATTCAGGGGATTGGTCCACCTGGATGAACTGGATAAGCATGCTAATGATGTACAACTCACACTGCTCAGAGCAGGAGGAGGCAAGGACGAGGAACGATGGAAAAACAACAGAAATGGAAAGATGGACACAGCTGAAAGGAAGGAAATTGTTTTACGACAGAAGAAGCAGGGGTGGAAGAAAGATTAGCTGAAAGTGAAGGAATGGCAACACTGAGGTGAGAGCAGGACAACGGAAAAGAGAAATGGGAGCGTTGGAAGGATCAAAGAAGAGAAAGTAAGAAGACATATGGTCCTACTGCTTGCATTCTGAAAACCAGGTGTCTGCGTCTTCAGCCACTCACACACAAACACACCTGACACGACGGGAGATATTAATATCCTTTGGGCCTTATGAGGCAGATGGTATAGTTGGTGTTAATCCCTCGCTGCCCTCCTAAACTGACCCTGCCACAGACCGTAAACATGGTGGCAGCCGGCCAGGAATTCCCTCGAGACTTTAAAAGGTGTTGAATACTAACGCAAGTCGTGACCAGAAGCTGACACGGCCAGCTCTAAGCAGTCCAGCAAATAAGTTTTCTACCTAATTATGTTTTTCTTTCTTTCTCCCAGGTGTGTATTCCATGTCAGTGTCAGAGGATAAAGTACCAGGAGAGGAGGTTGGCAGACTTAAGGCTAAAGACCCAGATCTGGGAGACAACGGACTTGTAAACTATCGCTTAATAGATGGAGACGGGATGAACATGTTTGAAATTTCAACAAACTCCGAGACCAGAGAGGCTGTTGTTAAACTGAAAAAGGTAAGATATGATGGAAGATTCAAGACATCCACTATTTTTAGATTGAAAATGAGGAACGGCAGCAGAGCAAACACCACCATTACATGACTTGGCAAGAAACAAATTGTTATCCAGATTGTTATCATCGAACACGTGATCGGTGCAAAACGTAACAGATGCATTGTCCCCGGAAGCTTGTCCCGTTCCACTAGGAGCAGGTGTGTTCCGCACTGGTTGTGTGGGGTCACAAGTTATCATATGGCGTCATCTGGTGACGTCTATAGACTTTCTGGATTAACTTCAGTTTATTTCCATCAGAGGCAGTTGGGAGAGTCACAACACAACGTTTCTTGGATGAGTCCTATAGTCGCAGCGCTCTGTGGGAAGACACCCACTCGCTAGAACCGTGGCTATTGCTGCGTACTACGCTTCGAGGGCATTAAGCAACACTTACACATTCAGAGGAAAACTGGGATTATGGTCATTGTTCAATCCTTTATAGTAAATATATCAACTTTTGTTTGGTAAATGTAATCAAACATCAGCAGTCTACTGGAATCAAATATTCCTTCAACACAGTTTGGTCACAGAGGAGGTGGAAAAGCATTACAGCTGATTCTATCAATGCATGTCTTTTAATACTTTCTCCTGGCTCAAATGGGGCCTAAATCAATCAGGTGAGCGATGGAAACTGTTGTAGTGAGCAGGAAAGCATGGAAGCAGCAAGAAAAAGTGGTTTGAGCTATGGTCTGAAAACAAGCCATTGCTCTCTTGCCAGGAGCTGCAGCCACTGGTGCATTTACAGCTTTCATTCATTGCTTGTCCTTCAACATGATTTCAAAGACGCTGTGATAATGGACTGTATAAAAGGGAAATAAAGCGTCTGGGCAGTGCTACTTCCTCCTTGTTGAACCGAGGTCACACTACCAAATGTTCTCCGTTTGCTGTTGTGGTGCAGTTCGGTACATACCTGATTACTCAAAGAGTTTGGGACAAAATGTAGTTGTTGTTATGTTTATTCATTTGAGTTAAATCAAAATGATGATTTTATGTGATGTTTTAAACTATTTTGAAGCAACATTAAAGTTTCCCGCTTCTCCTTCCTACTGGTGGAAAGCAGAATTACAACAGTTGTAAACAACCCTGCTAGCACCAACAGCGAGCTAACACTAACACAAGACAATTAATACTAAATAGGCCACAAATTTAAAAGATCCACACTGTTGGACAAAATATTATCACCTACAACTCCAATAGCAACAAAGTCAGGTCACCATCAGTCAGTGATTTCATAGCCTTTTTCAGCTTCCTCAAGCTAGTGTAGGCTGATGCTCACTCTGGTTTTAGTTCTCTGCTTCATCTTAAAGGAATTACTCTTACTTTTACTTCCAGGCTCCACCATGATGCCAAGAGAAAAAGAAATATTCTTGTGCATTTTATTGACGATCGGCAAACTGAAAGAGCTAACCGCTAACAGCTACCTACCCAAACCACAAATCTGTTAGGTGCAGATCAAGTTCGTGGCTCAAGGAGCACTGAAACCAGTTGGAAAGAAACAAGTTCAAGTGTAAAAAAACAACAACTTTGCTTTAAGTAGCATGTTTTGTAAAATATGGAGTAAATTTGCTTGAAATTTGGAATTTATGTTCTGCATTACAACAAAAAAGAGTTACAGGAGAGACAGATATTTTTTAGTTTTAGCTCTGAACACAAATGTGTGTTTACAATAAATCGTGTTAATTTGAAGGCTTTTAGATCTTTTTAGCTGTTTCTTGCAATCCTACTAAACTTTGACGGTCTTATCATCCAATTTAGTCTTAGTTGTCGCATTCAAATGATGTAATAAACAAAATGTCTGTCATGAAGAATTCTTAAAATAAAGCAATATACAGACATGATTGATACATTTCCTGTGAAAAACCTCAAGGTTCTTTGAGCCAGTTTAGTAAAAACAATGAACCCCTTTGATAAAATGAGTGGATTTATCGTTTCTTTGCTTTCTGAGGTTTGAGATCATCCATATGAGCACACTGTGATGCATGTTTCAGTTACTATTCTCCTCCGTTTGTAGTTGTAATAATCTGCAAAGACAAGTCATTCATTCTCCTACATGAAGTCTCAATCTCACGGTGCTCTCAAATACACTCCAACAATTATCTTTCTGTTTTACACACACACACACACACACACACACACACACACACACACACACACACACGCACACACGCACACGCACACACACGCACGCGTGCACGCGTCATATTGCTGCATGTATAGCTGCAGGTCAGGATCAGAGCTGAATCCTCCAGTGAGCTGTAAGGGAAGTCTGCTATTGCAGCTCCTCTCAGGCTGCCTGACCTCTGGGTCATTCAGTAAAAAAATGATCACTTTAGCGAAGTCATCAGCTGAATCGTACATCAAAATGTCTGTTTTAGAATGGTGATTCCAGAAAATAACATTTAAGCTCATCAGACGGTATTCTTTTTCTGAATATGGTGACATAAGAAGAAGAAGAAGAAGAAGAAGAAAATATCATTTCTATAGCGCCTCTCAAGATAAAAATCACGAGGCGCTTCACAAAAACAAAAAATGTAAAAAAAATGTAAAAATTTATTTAGAAAATGGTTAAAAATATATTTAAAATGAGCAAAAAGACAAGTGTGATTTTAAAAAATGTTAAGAAAGAGAGAGAGTGAATAGGAAAGAGGGAAATCAGTGGATCCTGAGGAAGGTGGAATAGGTGGGGAGAGCAGAATAAAGAGAGAGTGGTGAAGAAGGTCATACAAAAGCTACTTTGAACAAGTGAGTTTTCAGCTGCTTTTTAAAGGAGACCACTGAGTCCACTGATCTCAGGCTCAGGGGGAGAGTTCCAGAGTCTGGGGCCACAGCAGCAGATGATCTGTCACCTTTGGTCTTTAGCCTGGTGCTGCACAACCAGTAGGCTTTGATCACTGGACCTCAGAGACCTGCTGGGGGTGTAGGGACTAAGAAGATCACCAATGTAAGATGGTGCTTGTCCATGTAAGGCCCTATAGACCAGAACCAGGATCTTGAAATGAACCCTGAAGTTGACTGGCAGCCACTGAAGCTGGAGGAGAAGCGGGGTGATGTGGGTGTGTTTGGAGGACTTGGTCAGAAGCCGAGCACAGGGATTCTGAACCACCTGTAGACGGTTCAGGGAGGTTCTGCTCAGACACGTGAAAAGAGATAACTGACACCCATGGCTGCATACTTTTATGGTGCATGGTGGAGTTTGCAGTGAGCTGCATTTCCTGTCCAGACAACTGTGACGTCACATAAAAATGCACCCAGTTGTAACCCACAGATCATTTCCACTGAAGCTGTGGGAAAATCTTTTACTGCAATGATGGATGCAAGTCAGTTTCATGTTTTTTTTTCTCACACAACTCTCTGCATGAGCGATTCATTTGCAGCTCAGCTCTAAAGCCAGGCATTGAGACTGCCAGAGCTAAGGGCTCTCCTCCCAGCCATGACACCAGGAATAAAGCAGGGGAATGACTTAGTGATAATAATGAGTAATGCTCCTTTCTCCTCTATCAACAACTATAATTACTCTGCCCTGGAGCCAAACAGGTAACTCATAAATAAGGCATAAGTCAACAGTAGAGGACCATGGCAGTGCTGTGCATATCCTAAATCTAGATTGCAAATGTTCCCTGTGTTTGCATATGAAAGGAGTACATAGCAAAATATGAATGCAGCTGTCTGCAGCAGATACATGACATGTAGGAACTTTGGTTAAAAGTTGCCTACACGAAATTGACAGAATCTCATGACAACTTAAAGGGGCGTCCTAATTTAAAGCCTACTCCTTCTGACTTTTAATTAAGGACCAGTAGAACATCCTACATCTAGACTGCCCAGTGAATAGGTACGATAAAGTTCAAAAACATTTTCTAAACAAAGTTCGTCATTTACAAACAGAGTGTTTCACATGAATTCATATGTAAATATCATGTTTTCAAAAGGGAAAACACATTTTCCACACGTCACATTAAAGGCATGTGACCCTCATTTGTACACGTATTTCCAACATGTCACATTTTTACAAGATGAATTTATTTCATGTGGCCTTTGTTCCAACATCTCATGCTCTATGTGAAGCTTGTGTATTTAAGACATTTTTGACATGTGTTACACATGTGACATGTTCATTTAGCATGTTTTCACATATGACGTGGATGTGGTTTTAACTGAAGGAGATCCTCAAGGCTGTGTCATCAGTCCCTTCAGTTCATACTGCAAACCCACCATGATACGGTCTTCTGACAAGCAACACACATGGATCGGTGATTTTAGGAGTGGTTTCTTTACTCTCACTGTCGAATTCAAAGCAAATACATTTTTCTAGGCACAAAATCCCTTCATGCATCTCATCTTTTATATATAGTGGTGCAAAATTACCTGTTGTGTCTTATGAATGGATAATGATGAATATGTTTTTATGTATTTATTGAGCAGCGATGTACGCACAGCAGGTTCTCTGTTCTGCTTAGTGATTTTTTTGAAACAGTGAAAGTCAAAGCTCTGCTAATTGGTTTACTGTCAGTTCGTGCTTCCTACGTCCTACTTATAGGTGTTACTTGGTCGTAATTGTATGCGTTAGATCTCCTAAAGACGGCACATGTTTTCGTGTCTTTACCGGGTGACTGGGTGATATTTAGAGCAGCACATCAATCATTTGCCACAGTTCCCTGTGTCTTCTGGAATAATGGCTCATTAGCCTGATACTGATTAAAGGTGTGTTTGTGTGTGTTACACACTCACACCTTGCAGCACCCTCTTCTGCTCCCCACTCCATCTGATGATGGCATCTTTGCTTGGATGTGTTTGTATGCGTGCGTTTGCACAAGGGGAAGTGTTGGTGCACGTGTGTGAGATTATTGGGTCTTGATGCCTCTCGAGGGAAATCAAACCTTTTGCACCCTGAAGGCAGTGCCACATGAAATTAAAAGCGAAGCACATACCTTCACACACATGCACACACACACACACACACACACACACACACACACACACACACACACACACACACACACACACACACAAAGCCACATCAGAAATCTCACACACTTTCAAATCAGCATCAAGAGTAGCCTTCACTAATCTCTATTCTCTCCTCCTCATACACAGACTCACACACGGGGGTGAGCTTTAATCAGCTATTCTCTTTCAACTGTGTCCTGACGAAAGCAGTCCACGGAATATTAAGGAGCTGAATGTGTGTGTGTGTGTGTGTGTGTGTGTGTGTGTGTGTGTGTTTGTTACAAAAAGCATCACAGAGAGGGAGGGGCATGATGCGAATATTATCATCATCTCTGACTGATTATACAGAGAGGGAGAGAATGAAATGAGGGTGGGGGAGAAGAGGAGAGGGCGGGCGGGACAGCGAGTGACACAAAAAGACAAAATGAAAGAACTGGGTCACATCTATTCCACTGTACCTGCCATCATGGCATTAAATGTGTTTATCTGCAGCTGAATGAGTGTGCAACAATCTATTCAGACGGAGGTCTTACCTTTTGGCCTCCATTCTAGATTGCACTGTGGGATTTATTCACTCTTGATGGGATTCAGGAACTTTTATTAACGATGAGCAGGACTGCCTCCCTCTAATCACGTGGCACCAGCAGACATCCTAACCGCCTCTCCTCTTTTACAAGGATGTCATGAAGAGATGGGAGTCTGAAGACATGAAGATTTTTTCTTACTTTTTCACCACTTATGACTTTGAGCTGGATGTAGAAGTGGAACGTCGTCGCTGTTTATTACAAAACACCGACTCCAAAAACCGTCACTGACTATGATCATGGCTAGCTGCAGATGAAGCTGCTGCCGGCTAAGGACGTTTGCCTGCAATCATGGCAGAGAGCACCTCTCGGGTATTGCACCATGCAATAACTGCCAGAGCATTTGTTGACTTAAAAGTTTTCCCTGCAGCAAAATAAACTCAGCACATGAGAAAAGTCAGTAGAAAAGAAGCATTAAATGCACAGCAGCAAGTAGATTTTTTAGCTAAGGGTCATTGCTTTATAATTGCTATATTTCCTTTTCTGTACATGATTTAAATGTGATGTGTAAGGAAAACGCAGTGTGTGTTGAAAATCGAACAAGAAGAACTCAAAGCACACACAGGAATCTAATCTGTATCGAGGCTATTAAAAAAGTAATATAGAGAGAGTGAATTAATGCTGACCTAAATGTGAATAAATTTAAGGTTTCTGAGGCTTCTGGGGGATTTAATATGTGACTGCCATATTGGAAAGTATGTCTAGGATTTTTATTTTTTTATAAAATAGGTTCATAATTTACCTGTTTCCATTATCAAGGTGTAACAGATAAAATAATAGATTGGCAGAGATCGTCTGTGACTGAAAGCACGTCCCTTTCCGCTCCTTACATTGCACCTCTGACTCCCAAACCTCACCCTGGCTCATTAGAAACAGACCAGCAGTGTTTTCATCTGAAGAGGAGGCAGACACACGATCAAATGATTCACAGAGATCCAAAATCCTGATGAAAAATCTCACATCACATCATACATGAGAAACCTTTGTAAAAGTAAAGGCTGTTTGTGTTTCTGCGGGTTTGGCTGGTGTGTGTGTGTGTGTGTGTGTGTGTGTGTGTGTGTGTGTGTGTGTGTGTGTGTGTGTGTGTGTGTGTGTGTGTGGTGACGGTGGCACAACTGATGAGTTTTCTTCAGTCATCCATGTGGCAACAGCTCCCCCTATCAGAAGACAGGAGCACAGCACATCTCCTCTCATGCTTTTCATCAGACTTAAGCTTCTGCTCCTGTGTCTTTTATCTTTTAAAGTAAACGTATATTGATGGGGCTAATTTCATATTTTTTGTCTGATCATTTTCAGCAAGTGGACTTTGAGACCAAAAGGTCGTACACCTTGAAAGTGGAGGGATCCAACCCTCACATAGACTCTCGTTTCCTCGCTTGGGGACCTTATAAGGATGAAGCCACAATCAAGGTAATCCACAAAGTGTTTATGTAAACAGGGACAGAAATCAATGCTGCATGCTTTTCACTCTGTTCACCCGACAGTGCTTCGGAGGGAAGAACCTGCCCAGGTCTTTGTGCTCGCTGAAAATCAGAAGCCCTTCATCAGTTATGCATGTGTGTGTGTGTGTGTGTGTGTGTGTGTGTGTGTAGATTTCAGTGGAGGATGCAGATGAGCCTCCTGTCTTTGTAGCTCCCAGTTACACTTTCGAGGTGGAGGAGAACGTGCCCCAAGGAACCCCGGTGGGACGAGTTCACGCCAAGGACACAGACGTTGCCAACAATCCTGTCAGGTAACACAAACGACTGCACACAGGAAGGCCTGTAGTAGATTCTGATATTCTTTAGCTGTTGTCCAGAAACAGCTCAAGCCGTGGTCATTTAGTTAACCGAGAGTGCAAAAATAAGCACCAACATTTCTCAGGATCATGTAGTTTATCTTGAGGGTCTAGAATAAGTACTGCAGGGATTTTTGTTTTCCCATCTGCTGTGATAACTATGTCTGGTATAAAAGCAGCTTAGCCGCACTAAATGCTGAAGGAAATATTTTAACATCCAACACATTTCTGTGCAGATACTTGATCCCACGCTACACCGACGTGGACCAGTTCTTCAGCATTTCAGAAGATGGCCTGATAACCACAAACAGACCTCTGGACAGAGAAACACAGCCCTGGCACAACATTTCTGTCTCCGCCACAGAGATTGGTACGTCGGCCACCTTAATGTCACACCTGCAGTTCTAACAGAGGGAAGGTTAAGTTAGGGGCAGCACAGTTGAAAATATACATCTGTCATTTAGCTTCAAACGGCATGTTCTAACAGATACTTAGAATCAAATCTCAATATGCAAGGTTAGACCTAAATCAAATTTGAAGCATTTCTAAATACACTGTGAAAGACACACTCCCGGGGCCTCATTTATCAAGCTTGCTTACGCACAAAACGGGGTCGGAAAACTGCGTAAGCAACTTTCCACGCAAACTTGGGATTTATGAAAGAAAACGTAGCGGAAAAATGTGCGCAACTTTAAGTTGACTAAGGGCCTTGCTTACGCACATGTCGGACATGGAGAGCACCTGCAGTGCTGCTGCTGAGAAGGATACAATTATGAAATCCTGCCACATTATCACTTGTACTGCTTCGTACACACAGAACAAGACCCCCCACACGCACGCACACACACACATGCGCGCACACACACACACAGCCTGAAGCGCATAATACGGAATGCGGAATATCAGCAGGGGGACAGATTGAGACCGAATGTCATGCGTCTGTGAATGTGTGTGTGTGTGTCCTGTCACTGTGACCTGATTGATCATGCGCCCTGGCTACTTGTACAGGGAAGATCTCTGTTTGGCTGACTGGTTAGCACACGTGACTTTCACCCAGGAGTCCGGGGATCAAATCCCGATTGGACCATTTTTTTTATATCCGCCACAGATCTCTCTGAAGAATTCACAACATTGATGGCTTCAGCAACACTGTGCCACTCTGTGGATTTTCTTTTATTTGTTTTGCAAAAGCACTTCCTTTCATTTCTCCACCTCACCCACAGGTACCTCAATTTCTGCTTCTGTGAAATAGCGCTTCCTTGATCTCCCTTGATCTACGGTCGCCATCATCAGTGCTGTAATAGCTGGCTTATGTATATACATGAGATCCACAAGGCACTTTGCATTGACTATTTATGGCAGTAAGTGGGTGTGGTGAGGGCAGGATGTGACTAAAAAGCAGCTGAGAACCTTTCTAGATAGTTTCTGATTTATGAAGGGGAGATTGCGTGCAGCCAGTAGCGGTTTTAGGCACGGGCAGACAGGGCAGTTGCCCGGGGCGGCATTTTTTCATGACACAAAAGGGGCGCACAAGCGCGGAGTAAAAAAAAAAAAAAGGAAATCTGCGCCGCACCGAGGTTTTCTATTATCTGTCATATGACAGTGTCTGGATTGGAAACAGGAAGTTGGCGCCCCCTGCAGTTGCAGGCGCTCCTGCTGACTGAGAACGTTCACGTGCTCCGTGTGTCTAAAGAACAGGAAGGGGAGGGGTGCGGCGGGGGAATTCACCTCTGCGTCTTTCCCAAATGAATGAGCGTGCAGGGGCTGAATCAACTGTATTAACGTGGCTAAAGTCAATCACATCTTAACGTTCTTCCATATTTCATTCATAATATCATAAACACAGGCCTATAATTCTTTCAGGTTTCTCTGAATTGTGTGAAATGGCCGAATAAAAAAAGGAAAAACAAAACGATTTTGTGGTCACCCCCCATCAAGGTCAAATTGATTAGTCCTGACTAAAGGAAACTTACTGAGTCAGGAGACAAACAGAAGAGATGAACATAAAAAGGCTAAAACCACCAGGTGCCCCATTCAGGGGAAAAAAAGAAAAAAGAGCAGAACGATAAAGGTATGTAGCTCTCATGATGCATGTTTTCAATTTTTTGAACCAGTTAACTGGGATTTTAACGGTTAAATGCGGTCAACTAATTGCTAACAGAGCTAATAGGGCTGAAATATTTAAACGAATATTCAAATGGTTTGAAAAAAGTCCTCGAATCGTTTTTTACTGATTCAAACTAGGATTTGTTAAATGCTCGCTGCAGCCTGTGGCCTGCCTGAACAACAACAAACACATGTTGATCATGTTCACATAATAATAAATAAAACAACTGTACAAGCAGAAGAAAACTCCCCAGTCACCACTAACTCTCCTGTTTATTTATTGCAGATGGCTGCACTGATTATTTTTTACATGATTTGTTCTGTAAAAGTTGGCATTTTTGGTAGTCTACAGTTTTTTATGTCAGTTTAAATTACAATTTCAGAGGCAATTCTAAAATATTATGGATCATGATAAAGATCTATTGGAGATCTACCCCAACTTTTGGACTGCTCTGCCAGTCACTGTGGCTCAAGCTGAGAGGAGCTTTTCAAAACTTGATCAAGTCATACCTGAGGTCACCTATGTTTCAGGGGCAGCTCACTAACCTGGCTCTGATTAGTATCAATCACTCAGTAGGGGAGCAGATTTCATGTGATGACATTATTGATGACTTTGCATCAAGGTTAGGTTTTAATTTTAGTTTGTGTTTTCTATTCTAAGTGCAATGCTGTAGTGATTATCTTTAGTTTGTTACGTGTGAAATATTTTTGCTATTTAGAATATTTATTATCTATTATGTTCATATATTCTTAATATTTAGTTATTGTTTGTTTTTGTATATTTGATTCTATATATTTTGATACAGTATATAATGTATATTGCTTTACATTCTGACAACTTCATAGTAATTAATGTAAATATGTGCACCTTAGAAAAATGAATGTTCAATAGTCGTTCTAATAAAACATGCCTGTTTGTAGAAAACATGCGTGTGTTCATGCAGGTGGGGTGGTGGTGGTGGTGGTGGTGGTGGTGGTGGTGGTGGTGGTGGGGGTGGGGGGGTGGGGGGGGGGGGGGGGGCGCTCAAAGGGGGCCTCGCCCGGGGAGTAATTCGATGTAGAACCGCCACTGCGTGCAGCTGTGCATACTCCCATAGATCACAAACCTCTTGGCGTAGGTACATTTTTTTTGCTGAGCTCAAGTACGGGTTTTAGTAAGGATTTTACACAATGTTTGATAAATGAGACCCCAGAACTTTGCAGATATATGCTCTCTGTCTCCCTCTCCAGGCTTGCTGCGTAACATCACTGTTGTAAAATCAAATCTCTCCGTCGCGCATAAGAGGCATGTTTACTGTTTATGTTGACTGTTTTGCAAACTCGCGTGCCCAAACAAACACATTAAGCTGTGTTTCAGCATTGAATAAAGTTTTATCAGGACTGTATAACAACTGTATGCCCGAACAAACACAATAACCCGGTGAAATAATTTATTACTTACCTATTCATTAGCAGCACGGCTAGGTCAGAATCCGTAGTACATGTCGTTCTTTTGACAAGAGCTCTCCAGCGAGGAAAAGCCGGCCCAATATTAACTCTGGTCTTTGCTCTTGCTCTATCGCATTCTCTTTTTCTTTTCCTAGATTCCTCTGATGAGGATTTCTATCTTTCTGTGGTGGATCTGCCATTGCTCAAGTGTCTAAACTACAGACTGCCACAGACAAATACGTAAATGCCTCGTGGACTAGCGCTGCCGTAGTAGCCGGCCTCAATTTTAGATGGGTCTCCAATTGCCCCCAGTACATTAATTTCTACTAAGGAAGGTGCTTCCCAGCTAAAAAACACATTTTATCAAGCGTTTTCACAATATCAGACACAAGTTGCTCGCTCTGCATTGACTTGGACTTTTCTACAGTCACCGCTTTGGAGGGTGAGACCCATCCAATATGGCAGCAATATTGTCAGGCTGTCCAGCACCCAATGTGGCATTTACGTATTCATGTCTATGGGGTCTATGTCTATGTGGTACTGCCATAAAGCAAGAGATAAACCATATAGAGCCGTAAACAGACATGAGACCCCATAACACTATCACAACTTCGAAAATGAACATAGATGATCATGTGCCATCAGAACTTTACTAAAAAAGAAAAGAAGAAAGAAAGAAAAATATCATTTCTATAGCGCCTCTCAAGATAAAAATCACGAGGCGCTTCACAAAAACAAAAACAAAAAATATAAAAATTGTAAAAATATAAAAAAGCTTTTCAAAAATGTTTAAAAAATATATTTAAAATGAGCAAGAATAAGCAATTGCGATTTAAAAGAAAAAATGTTAAGAAAGAGAGAGAGTGAATAGGAAAGAGGGAAATCAGTGGATCCTGAGGAAGGTGGAATAGGTGGGGAGAGCAGAATAAAGAGAAACATTGTTTAAGGTGTAAAAGTTGCAGAATGGGGCTTTATAACTGAATATGTAATAAATAACCCTGAATAAAGCAACAAACTATTATATTAAGTTACATCTAAACATGAAGAAGCAAACCTAAATATGTTATAGAGAATCTACAAACAAGCTAGTTTTTGAACACATACACAGTCATGGAACACTCACCCCTCCCCTCAGCTATCTTCCCCGAGACGCTTTTGCCGAAACCAGAAACCCGCGATGTTAGAGAAAACAAGCTAGCTCTAAACACCAGTCACCGATTTCTAGGTTGAAACCTATTTTGTTTTCTGCAACTTCAACTGGTGTTTTTCTTTTTGGGACTGGTAGTGTGTCCTAAAGTTGAAGTGGTAGCAGCCGGCTGTTTCTCCTTCTCTGATGTTGAACCTTTCACACCAATGGTATTCTGTTGCTAAATACACGAGTGTGTATGAGTGGAGGAGCCAGGGAAGTGCAGAAGTGATGTGTTTTGGTGAGACTGACAACCAAATGGTCCATTTGTTCGCTTTTGGTCCCAAGCGTGTTACTGGTGGAGGGTTATGGAGAAATGTGAGAGAACTACTTAAAAAAAAATAATCTCCACAATATATTTATTGCTGTACTATGTTAGAGCGTTGTTAAGAAGTTATTGTTAGTGTATTTGACGTAAAAGTAGCTTACCAAGACAAATGTGAGGTGAATGTCTACTAACTCAGGTCTCAGTAGGATTCTCTGGCTTCTCCCTTCACATTGCTAAATGATGCATGGTTACAGGGACTCACACCAGAGCATCTGAGATGTTGGATAGAAGGTCTGTTCACCGTGCTTTTACTTTGATAAGCTACTTCTGAGTACAGCAGTCTGATTTGGTTTTCTAGGCAGCCTGCCACAGTCAGATTAAACTATATGGTTTTAATTTAAATATAACTTAGATAATATAAGACAGTTAACACTGCAATTTGTTGAAGTGGTGAAAGAAACCCTTGTATCATTATAAACAGCTAAGTGTATGCTAATGCATCCAGCAGGCTGGGATTGAACCAGCCACTCCTGTGCTAATATGATCCATCTGTGATTGGTGCTTTGCGTGTGAAGAGAATCAAAATGTCAAACAGGAGCTAACAGATGGAAAACAGTCACCCAGGCCAGGCTTGTTAGGGTCCAAAAGCCACGCAGTCATTCAGCATCGCCGGACACACTCCATGACTTCATACGTGTGGTCTTCAACTCAAACATCTGAGTTTTATTTCATCCCTTTGGTTGGATGCAAACTTACCCCATTTTCAACAAATGTCGTTGTAGCACCGTGGAAACCAGCAGTTCTCATGGGAGCTCCTGTCATGCTGACCAGCTCTACCTGCTGTTAATCTTCAGCGTGTGATGTCTCGGCTCTCAGTGTGTAATTGTGTGTTTGTTTGCATTGGCTTACAGTTTCTCCTTGTGGATTTATTGTGCTGTTTTCCTCTGAAACATTGGCCAGAAGCAGAAACAAACACAGTCCCGCTGCGTGGTGTTAGATCGTATTGATCAGAAGGCTATTTTCATGTTAGTTCTGTTATGTTCACAAAGGCCGTAGGTAGAAAGACCAGCAACAAAACACAAAAGGCTAAATATGAAATATAAACAGACGTCCGTGCTTTTATGTAGCCATCTAATCTCAGAGTGACTGAAGCTTAAAGTCAGATAAAAATCTGGACATGCAGTGTTGCATTTAAATGAGCAGATGTGCCTCAGCAGTTAACACTGGTGAAGTGGAAAAATACAAAAAAATCCCCCAAACTGAACTGAGGAGACAAAAAAGAGGGTTGGCTAAAGTTTTCTCTCCCTGGCTTTAACTCCAGAAACCCTTCACAGGCCATAGTGGCCCCACCCTGGTATTCTGTGGTTGGGGCTCAAGCTAGCAAAGCGCCGCGTGGTTTTTCTGTGACGTGCTAGACGCCAGACGGACAGATGGAAACGAGCCTGCCGCCCACAAAGCTAGAAGCATTGCAGGCCATGCTAACCACTTTTAGACCCTGGGAAGCTGAATAAACGCCTGGTAATGACAGGGTAGAGAGAGAAAAATCACATTGACTCGAGCTGCAAACATGCAAAGCACTACAACACAGAAATGCGTCAGACCACCTTTTTTCTTCTTCATTTGAATCTCTGTTGGGTGTTTGGTTTGTCATTTTTCCTTATCAGAATCTTCTTTGTATTGACGGAAAAATAATCAGAGTGGCTGGCTGAAACTGACATCTGTAATTTTTGCAAATCAAAATAACAACCAGCAGGCTGAGTGGCTGACTGATTGACAGGAAATCTTGTTAGAAAACATGTTTTTTTTTTCACTCATCGGCAAAATTGGATTAGAAAACAAACAAGCAATCACAAATCCGCTGGAGAACAAAAGACAGTCTGACTTTAATGACTTTGACACTGGTTTATAAATGTGTAAGCAGCAGAATACTTATGTGTATGCCCTGTGTGTGTGTGTGTGTGTGTGTGTGTGTGTGTGTGTGTGTGTGTGTGTGTGTGTGTGTGTGTGTGTGTGTGTGTGTGTGTGTGTGTGTGTGTGTGTGCAGGAGGCCACCACCAAGACACCAAAGTGCGTGTTAACATCAAAGTGAAAGACGTGAATGACAACCCCCCAGAGTTTGCTTCCGACAACGAAGTCTTCATGTGTGAAACCGTGACACCAGGGAAGGTACGGCTGTCTGCATGAGACAGTGCTGCAAATGCGTGTCAGCATACAAAAACAAAAACACCCTGTTTCATATCAGTGCGTGACCCTCTAACTTGTGTTTCCGTGTTTGGAGTTTAGCTCATCCAAAGCGTCAGTGCAGTGGACAAAGACGAGATGGCTCACAGGCAACACTTTACATTCAGCCTGGCTCCAGAAGTTGCCCACAACCAAAACTTCACTCTGAAAGACAACAGAGGTAGGCCATCTTTAAATCATGCTCAGCATCCCAGCGCTATTTTCATTCCTGTATTTTGCAGCCAGTCTTTCTGCTTCTTCATCTGCAGTCTCTCACTCACCTCCCACTTTCACTCAGATTAGATCAAAGCATAAGCAGATGGAGGCTTACACTACCTGGTAGAAATCAGCAGGTGCTCTGAATCTCACACACACACACACACACACACACACACACACACACACACACACACACACACACACACACACACACACACACACACACACACACACACACACACACGTGTCCTGCAGGCTGCATTAATTGCAGTGGGGTCTCTGTCCGTCTGTACATATATCTTGGGGGAAGGCGACTGATTGAATTAGATTTTGCGAGAATTGGAAGAGACTAAAAAGGAAAGATGAGAGTGCAAAAGAAAACTAAAGATGGAGAATACAGATGGAGGATGTGAGATGTTGAAACGCGTTAGATTCATCTGATCAACATGAAGAGAATTGTGATTTCAGGCACAAACAGGAAGGTTTTCATGTGGTTTATGTTTGTGAAAGGCCACTAAAGGAAAAACAGAGCTAAAGGGCTCCACATGTCACGGAAATGTTAGAAAGAGGTTAAACAACAAAAACAAAAATAAAAACGATGCAAACATGTTAGGGATGTATGTTTAAAGCTAAAGCTCATTTTCAGATGTAAACATCTGTTATGTAGATTGATATTTATAAAAACATGTTAAATTATTAAAATGTTAAATGTGGGATGTAGCTCAAAGAACTGGAAGAATGAAAAAAATAAAGTATGGCAATAAAACTATATAACCAAAAACATTCAAGTAATACCAATCAGTATCAGTGTCAACAAATACAGACTCTTTGGTGTTTGGATTATCATTTATCATCCTTTTTTTCCACTTTAAAAAAATTTTTTTCATACAAAATATAAATCTTTGGTTAAATGTTCCTAAAGTTGGGGTCAGGACCCTAATCTGAGCCCTTAGAAACCAGGTCTGGGAACCCAATAGAATGTCCAGAAGTCCACTTGATTATAGGAACGATCACTAATGGCGTACTTGTTACAATCATTATTCTGTGACACTAAAAGTAATGTGATAGTTGAACGTTAAGGCTGGTTTCATCATCTGTATAGTTTCACTCATCCGTCTTGTTGTCAATGATTGACTTCATCCAGGGTCACATGACTTGGCCAGAGACAACATTTGGTGAAAAAACTGCTAAAATATGTTGTAAAGATAGGATTTCAAAAAAATATTCAAATTTTTTCCCCCTCTTAAGTTGTTTCAAACAACCGTGTTTGGTTCGTATTCTGAATAACGTGTTTAATAAAAGGCCAACGCCAAAGCTTGTGAAAGGATTTTCCTGTTTGTTATGGATCCAGAGGAGCAGAGAGGCAGCATGGAGGAAGTGCAGAGGTGCCACTGAGCCTCTGTTGTGTTGGTGCAGCAATAATACTGGCCTTTGATTACATTTTCCTTTCAGCTGATGAATGGACCCTCCTAATAAACAGAAGTTTAATATCACCAAAGTCGCACCTCATTGGCTGCTTGTGTGGGTAAATGACTCTGGGTCAGCATGAAGAGCAATACAAATAACAATTAAGCTGAAAAGCAAACCTCAAACTTTTTCTAACACTTTTTTCTTATGGATATATTTAATTAGATCAAAGTTGTGCAACCCCCATGTTTTTGTCTCCACAGACGGCACCGCCAGTATTTATGTTCTCCGCAAAGGATTCAACCGTCTCACCCAGGATGTTTACTTCCTTCCCATTGAAATAAATGACAACGGTTTCCCATCCATGAGCAGCACCAACACCCTGACCATCAAAGTCTGCTCCTGTGACAGTGAAGACAACATTGGGTCCTGTCACATGGCCCCCCACGTCCTGCCTGCTGGTCTCAGCACCGGTGCTCTGATAGCTATACTGGCCTGCATTGTCATCCTGCTCGGTGAGGAACACAAATCCTAATATTACTGCTAAATCAGCTGACTAAGATCATCTGTGGTTGGGGAATCTTTCAACAGCAAAACAAATGTACAAAAAGCAAATCCTGTTTTGATGTGGTCAGTTTAGTGATTTACAAATATTAAATAGATCATAACGACCAAACAGCTGTAAAGTGTCAACGGCTCCTTTGCGCCAGTAAATCTCTTCTGCAGCAACATGATCTTTCTGCAGTAGATAATTCTTAAGCCTGATTTATGCTTCTCCGTCTGCGTCAGTGCGGAGACACGCAACGCCATTTTCCATCCTTGCGTAGGGCTCCGGCAGGCACGCAAGTATGCACGGAGTCGAGTCCACTTTTTTAAACATCCGTCGAACGAGACGGATTACGCAAGCTTGTGATTGGTCAGGACGCCGCTGTTGTTTACAGCGCCGCCATTGCAAAGAGAGCCGAGGATACCAAGCGGCAGACACGGAGAAGCTTGAAGAATACCTCGCGAAAAAACTCTAAAAATGTGAACGCTTAATTCTCCCGTGACTGGAGGAGTGAAAAGATGCGCAGCAAGCATTTTATTTGTGGACGGAAATGACAGGAAACGTGGGTTTAGAGGTGGGGAGCGCATGAAGCGGTGGGAGAATGAGAGACAAATATGTCCGTGTTAAAAGTCTCTTATATACAGAAAAAAAACAATATAAACACACTATCTTGGACCGATACATGACAGGATACCACAGAACAGCGCTACGCCCTCTGCTGTCCTGCCGGGCAATTGCTTTGCAACACTCTCCAGGAGACGGAGAAGTAAAAGAGCAAAACGCTTCTGTCAATCCATGCGTGTCTGTCCCTTGCGGAGCTGACGGAGAAGCATAAACCAGGCTTTACACCCTTTACTGCACCCTGCTCTTCTGTGAATGGCGTGTCGTGTTGGACTGCAAATGAAAGTATTTTGTTCAGAAGTTCTTTAAATATTTGTGCGACACCAAGTTCCAATTTTTGGCGTCCACTTGTTTGCATTTTTTTTTGCTAACAGACATAAATTAAACAGAGAGCCTTTACTGGATGTACATCTACATCTGATAAACCTCAGGGGTCAACCCAATTCAAAATGGCCACCATTGCCAACTGACCTCAGGAAACAAAATTGGCTTTAATTAAATCAGTTTTACAGTAACTGAGCTAGAATTTGGTGTTTTAGTACTTGAAAGTCGTTCTCGACACATTTTCCCTTTTCACAAGATGCACCATGCAGGCACATTAGAGTAATTTACTGCAATGGTGTGTCTTATAAATGTGCCATGCCAGCGTGACGATGCACAAATTTTGTGGCATTCGTTCCGCCTCGCTTGGTAGTAAGATTGCGGTAATTGTCTGTCTTATAAACGGCGATTGTGCCTCGGTGCAACAGAAGGTGGTGTCATGATGACATGGGGAGTTAGTGCCGAGTGGCAAATAACTAGAAAATGAAAGTAAAAGCGGGCCGTACGTTTTGCTATTTTTAAACAAAATCAGCGGAGACAGCAAACTGGAGAGCTGCAGCTCTCCTGGATCTTCTCTCCATTAGAGCTGAAGGTCAGGTCACAAGTCCGCGGCAGTGCAGGGGCTGCCCCCATACCCCCTTGATGCCGGCATCGCCTAATCCTTTGTAAAAAGGACACGATTGCGCCACATTACCGCCACCGTCTGACCACTTATAAACGACCTAAGGCCCCTTGATGTCGCCATGGCGTTGCATCAAATTGACGACATTGTTTTGTAAAAACGGCATATGTCACTTGAGACCTTGTAATATTGTGTAAATATTGTTTAAATAGTTGACCAAGTTGTCCAATTATTTCTCAAGATCATATTAGTTAAAATTACAACATGAAAGGTTAATACAGACCTTCAAGTAGGGTTGGGTACCTTTTGACATTTGAACTGATCCGGTACTAATTCCCGGTATCTACGAATCGATACCGGTACTTAACGGTACCAGTTTTCGATACTTTTGAGTGTTTATTATTTTAATTCTCTTTTATAATTAAATATATATTTTTCTCAATATATAACAATATTTAATAAATATCACGATAAAAAACATTCAACTGTTTGTATTAACATCGTCCTTGTAGTTTTATAAGCTGATAATTAAACTGAAGCAAACATCTTTACTGTGAACTAAATTTACTGTGTATCTTCATTCCTTTTGCCGTCTTTTTTCATATGATTTTTCCTACTGGGAAGTTAGAATTTCCGAGGAGAAAGCGAACGCACCATTAGCTGATAACAACGGTGGCAATGGAAGCTAACGTATCAAGCTAACGTTATCTTTAACAGTGTATTTAACTGCTGGAGCAGATTAAAATGATGATGCCTCACACTTAAATCGTTGTCACTGGTTTCATCTTCACCCAATCACCCGTCGCATTTAGTAAAGTGAAGCCAAACTTTAGAGCGCGTTCATGTTCTAGTCGGAAATTCGGAGTTCCGAGGAGAAAGCGAACGCACCATTAGCGAAACAGAAGCTAACATATCAAGGTAACGTTATCTTAAACATTTTATTTACCTACCGGAGCAGATTAAGATGAGGATGTCTCACTTAGATCGTTGTCCGTCGCTGGTTTCATCATCACCCAGTTACCCATCACATTTAGTGAAGTGGACCCAAGCGTTAGTGTGCGTTCTTTCTACCATGCTGCTGTTTACAACTCGCTCGCAGGGACCGACGACATAACGCTCTTGCGCATGCGCAGCTGTCTTGGCAAGTTCTCCTTATGAAGGACGGGTACCGAAACGAGGCACCATTTGAAACGACGTGAATCGATGCTCGGTCGGTACTATGGAATTCGGTCGGTACCTTAAAAAGTACCGAATTCAGTACCCATCCCTACCTTCAAGTAGAAATCTTGTTTTTTTTGTCAGAGGTCACCATCTAGAGGCAGACAAATGCATTGCACCTTCAGCCCATCTCCTTACTTCTGTCATTATGGCTAGAAGTAACACCAAGTCCTCACCATCTTAGTTGTTCCGCTTCATCGCGTTATCCTGCCCACCAAACCAACAAAGCGATATGACTGGCAAACCAACAGACTGGTCTGGCCTCCTGATGCTCCTATGGAGCAAAGCTAAACCGATATGCAGAGCAAAATCATTTTGCGTCAGCAACTGTCTGTCTAGATTTCTTTTTTTTATTTATTATATTTTTATTGAAAGAAGAAAACAACAGTACTTGCAATTACCAAAATACAATTAACCTTTCTTCATTTTTTCTAGGTAAATAACAACAATCAGACAGAACAACAACAACAACAAAAAAAGGGGGACAAGACAATTAGACAAAAAAACCATACCAAAAAACAAAGACCCCCCCCCCCCCCCCCCCCCCCCCCCCCCCGTCCCACATAGATCAACACAACCGTCAAACATATTACCGGAATATAACAATAACAGAAGTACAATTAAACAGGTAATACCTCTAGACTAGTAAAATAAGAGATAAAGGGTTGCCACTTATGAAAAAAATTGGCCGTGCACCCTCTCAGCGTATATTTAATTTTTTCAAGTTTTAAAAGAAACATGACATCTTTAAGCCACTGGGAAACAGTAGGACACTTAGCAGACTTCCAATGTAACAATATCAAACGTCTCGCTAATAGGGATGTGAAGGCAATGATATCCTTTTGCGTGGAGTCCAGTATAAGTAAGCGGTCAGGAATCCCGAATACCGCAATCAGAGGACAAGGATGAAGAGTTACCCCAAGAACAGTTGACATAATAGCAAAATACCCTGTCCAGAAACGTTGTAGCTCAGGACACAAAAAAAACATGTGGCTAAGGTGACAAGGAGAACCCTGGCATTTATCACATTCATTTTCCACTTCCGGATACAGTTCAGAAAGTCTAGACTTAGAGAAATGCACCCTATGAATGACCTTAAATTGGATAAGTCCAAGACGAGCGCAGGAGGTGGAAGATCGTACCCTTGCTATAACCTGTTCCCAAGACTCCTCATGTATTCCAATTCCTAGTTCTCCTTCCCATATATCCCTCAGCTTAACCTTAGAGTGGTTACTAAGAGACAGAATAGCATCATAAAGTTTCGAAATGGTTCCTCTGTGATGAGGAATAAAATATAACATAGTTTCCCACCGCTGTTCTGGAGGTAAAAAGGGGAAATTCGGGAAACACTTGGCAACAAAATTTCGAATTTGAAAATAGCGAAACAAATGGGTAATAGGGAGAATATAACGAGAAGACAAATTGGGAAAACTATCGAACACACCATCCACATATAAATGTTTAAACTGTCCTATACCCTTGTCACACCACACTGAGAATGTCGTGTCCAAAAGTGAAGGGGTAAACAAATGATTGTTGGTTAGAGGACCCGAAGAGGATGGCATTACAAAATTATTGTGTCGTCTAAACTGAAACCAGATTTTGAGTGTGTTAAGAACCACCGGATTATCAGTATACAAAGAGGGTTTTACGGGTAAAGAGGAATAGAGCAAAGCTGGTAAAGAGGAGCCCTTACATGATAATAGCTCCAATTTACACCACGAGGAACCAGAAGATTTTAGCCAGTAGCAGAGTTTTTGAATGTGAGCGGCCCAGTAATAAGCTAGAAAATTAGGTAATGCAAGTCCTCCACTAAATCTGCATTGCTGCAGCAACGTTTTAGAAACCCTAGGCGGCTTCCCTCCCCAAATAAAAGAACCAATAATCTTGTCCAGTGAAACAAAGAAATGTTTCGGCAAAAATAAGGGAATTGAGTGAAATAAAAATAAAAATTTTGGTAGGATATTCATTTTAACGACATTAATCTTACCGATTAAAGAAAGCGGGAGATTACCCCATCTTTGAATATCAGATGTGATCCTAGATAAAAGAGGAGACAAATTTGCTGATTTAAGGCCAGATAGAGAGCGAGTCACGTTAACCCCTAAGTACTTAAACCCAGAGGGACTAAGACGAAAGGGTAGATCGGACTGTTGGAGTTGACGTGCTGCCGTATTAACAGGAAAACACTCACTTTTCCCTAAATTTAATTTATAACCTGAAAACGAGCTGAAGTTCTCCAGAATACTTAAAACAGCAGGAATGGAGCGAGCAGGGACCGACGACATAACGCTCTTGCGCATGCGCAGCTGTCTTGGCAAGTTCTCGTTATGAAGGACGGGTACCGAAACGAGGCACCATTTGAAACGACGTGAATCGGTGCTCGGTCGGTACTATGGAATTCGGTCGGTACCTTAAAAAGTACCGAATTCAGTACCCATCCCTACCTCCAAGTAGAAATCTTGTTTTTTTTGTCAGAGGTCACCATCTAGAGGCAGACAAATGCATTGCACCTTCAGCCCATCTCCTTACTTCTGTCATTATGGCTAGAAGTAACACCAAGTCCTCACCATCTTAGTTGTTCCGCTTCATCGCGTTATCCTGCCCACCAAACCAACAAAGCGATATGACTGGCAAACCAACAGACTGGTCTGGCCTCCTGATGCTCCTATGGAGCAAAGCTAAACCGATATGCAGAGCAAAATCTTTTTGCATCAGCAACTGTCTGTCTAGGTTTCTAGGATAAAAGAACAGCGTAAGACTATCACTGTGATGCATTCCTAAAAAAATAATACACAATTCCTTAAAGGGGGAAAACTCTGGTTTGCTGCTTTAAGGAACGCTCGGCCTTTAATTAACTGTAATTTCGCTGGGTAGAAAACAGTAAATCTATTTCTAATGAACATTCATGACTAGTTGTAGGTCATGCTGCATTTTTCACATAGCTGTGCAGATCTGAGAGCTTTAGAGAGACAAACAGAAAAGCACCAGCAATAAAACCAGCATGTGTGTAAAGTACAGTACCATAATGGTAGAAATTACATAGACCAGGATGTAATTACCCTCCAGAATTACCCTCCCAAATTTCCCAAGGCCACACTAATTATATAGTACTTACTTTTCAACTTTCTTATGGAGATTCTGAGGAGATCAAGCTGTATTGATTGAATGCCAAATGAGTTGTAATGAATGTGTTTGTGTGTTTCTGTTTGGCAGCAATAGTTGTGCTGTTTGTTGCACTGAGACGTCAGAAAAAGGAGCCCCTGATAGTGTTTGAAGAAGAGGACATCCGGGAGAATATAATCACTTATGATGATGAAGGAGGTGGCGAGGAGGACACTGAGGCCTTCGACATTGCTACTCTGCAGGTGACGACGTGCAGCACCATGGTGTTAATCATCTAATAAAAAAAGAATCAAGTTATTTGATTTGTCAGTATTCACGTTTTGTTCACTTCAACTCAAAAACTGTGATCGTTTAAACTTTTACGGTTCTGCAATGATTTAGTCGATATTTGAACATGAAGCCTCTCATCTGCCAGCAAATAAGATTGATTCCATTCCAGCATTTTCATTTTCTCCAGCTTTATAACCACAGCCTTATCTCACCGCTCCGTGTTTCTGCACAGAACCCCGACGGTGCCAACGGTTTCCTGCCAAGGAAGGATATCAAACCAGAACTTCAATTTCCCATCAGGCCGGGCCTTGGGCGTCCTGCGGCCAACAGCGTTGACGTTGACGACTTCATCAAGACTCGCATTGCAGAGGCCGACAGCGACCCCACCGCCCCTCCCTATGACTCCATTCAGATCTATGGCTATGAAGGCAGAGGATCGTTGGCTGGGTCACTGAGTTCGCTTGAGTCTGTCACAACAGAGTCCGACCTGGATTATGACTATCTGCAGAGTTGGGGACCGAGGTTCAGGAAGCTGGCAGACTTGTACGGGACCAAAGACTGCTCCATTTACGATGCTGATGATGATGAGGACTCTTAACAGTGGTCTTCCTCAGTGGTGGACGCCCCCTGATTTCTGATTTATTGATTCCAAGAGGATGTGTTAACCGAGGGGTAATTCTCTCCAGTCTCCAGTTGTCACCATCTTCCAGCTGATTAGTCCATGCCAATTTGTCAACGGACGCTAACTGCTCTCCCGTTCTGTGGCCGGTTCTCCCAGACGGTTTGTCAATGGACACGTAATGAATTTGCCGACTTGAACCGCTCCCAGTTTCCTTGATTTTCTCCCGTCTCCTGTTTGATTCTTTTTCTCTATTTCTAAAGACTTGAGCATTGCAGGGCTGGGAGATTGGTTATGTCACTAGTTTGTTTGTCTGGAAGCAATTTGATGAAAACAGTGTTGCTGTATCATCAGTAAGACTTGCCCATAGCAAATTGTTGAGTGTAAAAGAGGTTCTGTATGCTTTTATGGACTAGATTCACATACTTCCTCAATAGTTCCTTAGAGAGACTTTATTCCCTTAACAGTTCCTGAGCGGGGCACACTTTCCTTTGTTGCTCACTCAAAGGAAAAGAGGAAGATGAAAGTAAATTAAAGGAAAACATTTGTAAGGGATCCAGCAACTGCCTGCTAAGAGGCATGAAACCGAGGATGTGTGGGCAACGATCAAATTTGTTGTTTTGTCTGCTGAAAACAGCAGATTCATTGGTTTAGATGAGTGAATCAACTCTGGGTTGTTGATACTCTGAAGATGTGAATGGCATCTTCACAGTGTGGTGGCCTTATAATAATTAAACAACAACTCCAGGGGTAAACACACACCCACAATGACAAAAAAAGACTGAAGATAGAGACCAATAGATTTGGTAGCCGCATGGACGACAGAACACACGGACTGTAGGAGTATCTGTGAAAACGCTACTTGTCACTTTTTCTATTCCCCGAAAAGGATCCAAAACTGTGGATTTTTCTTTGTTTTCTTATTTTTCCACTGCAGAGAAGAAATTAAAAGAAGTGCATCCTTTTGCCACAGTCACAGTGTCTAAAATCATTTCCCACTCTCAGTCAGCCCAGGAACCACCACCTCCATATTCCACCCGACAACAAGTAGAAATCTGTGAGCTTGAAAAATCGCCTTAAATCCAACGGACACTTTTTCAACACAGTGCATTCTCTTATTATTTTGTTATTTCTTCCTTTCATTTTTTTTTTTTTTTTGTAACTTGAAAAGTATATTCAGAAAGCTAAGTATTGTCCTGGCTAGGTGTGTACAGACCACACGTGTGGTATATCACTCTGAGGATCCGACCTTCGGCTCACGCACGCTTCCAGAGGGGTGAGCTGTTTCTGCTGGACGTGTGTGCTTTGTGTTAGCTTTCCACCGTGCATGCTGGAAGCAGCAGCTGTTGTATCAACATGTGTTGCCATGTGCACATAGGGAAATACAAGGTGATCCAGGTAGGCAGAAACAAAACATCCTATTCAAACGTGCCGATTTTTATTTTCAGTATCTGCTTTTATTGTTATTCTATTATTATTAGTGTGGGTTTCTATTATTATTATTATTATTATTATTATTATTATTATTATTACCACAGTAACTGTTCTTCCATTGGCTGCAGCTACACAGACTTAAGCTGATGTTTAACTTTTTGAATGAGATTTTATTGTTCTTAAAGTTTTTGAATGATTTAAAGAGTTTCAAATCTTTAGATAACTTAAAGTTATTTAGCTTAAAGTTAAGCATCAGCTTTTTTTTCCCTGTGTGCACTTCTTTATCCTTTTGGTTTAGCCTTTTTTTTCCTTTTTTTTTTGTAACGTATTTTGACGTTTCTTCACCTTTTCTCCCTGTTCCAGCGGAAACCTAGCAATCTGTGTGTGTTGCAGTGAGAGAACGCCTCCTTTTTAATTCTCTGTCAAGTTTTATGGTACAGATTTGTACAATTTTAAAAGTTCTTATTTTAGTATACATGCAGAATATTCCAGTATTACAACAAAAACATGTTAAGATTAAAAAAGTTACATCACACTTATATTTTCTGAGCATTGTATTGTTGCTTTACTATGTGCTTCAATATCAGAAGCAAAAAAAAAAAAAAAACTTTGAAATAAATGCTCTTTTTATAAAACAATACTCAACTGTGTGTGAGAGTCTAATGAGCTCATTTAGAAGAATTTAAGCTAGTTTCCAGGTGGGGTGTTTTGCACAAAAAAGGGAAATGTGCAAATTGATGAGCAATTTTCAGTTCAAATAAAATGTGTGACAGAATAAAAATTCACTGTAGGAATAGAATTATCTAGCTCAGAGGTCTGCAACCTTTACAGCCCAGAGAGCTTTTTTTCTCCTCAGCCCCACAACTTTTAAAGGACCTTTTGAAAACAGACTTAAGAGCTGCTAAAGTGGATTAGCACCACTGCAAAATGAACTCTGAGAATAGTGAATTTTTTCATCAGTGACCCTCAATGAGGGCCTCCTTCTCTTTAAATATCTACAATATAAAACATTTCGTCATTTTTGAAAGCTAAATTTAAAACATCTTGATCTTTGTGGAAAAATATACATAAAACCATGAAATATTACAGGTGTTTTTAGTGTCATTCTGTTGTGGAAACGCAATCCAATGAATCCATGAAAACACAGAAAAACTGATTAAATCTTGATTTGATTTAATTCAAACTAACACGAGTTTGTTTTTTCCCATTTGTAGCCAAAGTTATTAGGATCTACTGTGGAAAGTCCAAAGAGCCACAGGCTGCAGACCCCTTCTGTAGCTTATTTTTGCTGTGAGAGTAGTCCCTGCTTAAAATCCAAAGTTAGGCAACAATATAACTACATTCAGTTGCAGACACAGCAGACATAATGAGTTGAAAACTGTTATCAAGATTAAGTTTTAAATGCGCCATCAGCACTGTTACATTGTGTTTAGAGGATAATACGATAGACTGCATATTTACATTTTGTTTCAGCCAGTTTAATTGTGTTAGGCCAAAATCCTTTTTTTTCCCCTTATTTAATGGAGATCTAATTGTTTAAGTGGAACAATGCAGTTCTGCCTTGCTTTTAGCACCCCCTAGTGTCCATTTGTTGAACCGAAAGCAAAACATAACCCCTCACTGTCTCCCCAGCTGAAATGTCTCCTCAGCCTTCATTAGTGTCTACAGGAGTGATTCATCACCAAATCAAATCAGATGTGTTTGTGATACAGAACATGGTGGAACCAGACCGCAGCACCAGGTATGTAAGCTCAATTTCAAAGTCCCAACAGAGCGGCCACCAGTCTGAAGTTGCAAGTGGAATATTCTGGCCACAGGAAGCCACAGGAAGCCAGGTCAGGACCAGGGTGGACAGCCTTCTTCCTGAACTAGCTTTTTGTAATGTACCAAGTGGTCAGTTTTCACAAATTGACCAGAAAGTAACCTTTCATTTGCAGACATTAGCCCAAAATCTGTTGGCTCCAAATCCAAAACAAGACTCTGTCCCAGTTCTTGCTACTGCAACGAAGCCAAAGCATCTTTGCTCAAGGCCTCATGCAAATTGCTGCGTCCTCACTAAGTAAATGTTAACATCCTCAATGTTCCTACTGACTTTACAGCTCAGGAGTTAGAATAATCATAGGTGTTGAATGAACAAGATGTTTAAATCAAATGCTTGAGTAATCTGTGCTTTAATCAATGATGGCTTTAAAATGAATATTGTTCCTGCAATGATCCATTTCAGATCTTATCTACACCAGATCAGTGTGTGTTTGATTCAACAAGTTAATCAATATCTACATTCAGGGGTGGCGTTAGGCCCGGCTACTTGGGCTGAAGCCCCGGATGTTTCACAGAAAGCCCCGGATCTAAATCGCGGAAGTAACATGCAGTACCAAAGTCCAACAGAGAGGGAGCAGCTGGCAGTAGTTTGTATACAGCCTGCCTGAGCCTCCACCACTGAAGAAGACCTTCAGCAGCCGGCTTCTTCAGTAGTCTCTGCCTGAAACGCATGAGTGAAGATGGACATAAGGACGTTTTTTAGACAAAAGTACGGCGACAGAACCCAGCTTTGATGAGACTGGTGTTGACTCAGGTTTGTGAGTCTTATTTGAAAATATTTGTTGTGCTGCTGGTTTGCCTAAAGTTAGCTTACTATCAGGTAAAGATGTTGGAGAAAGAAAGGGAATATTTACTATCATCTCACACTAAACACTAACAGGAACAATACTCTGCCCTGAATATGCTGAATATGTAGCTTCAGATTAAAAATTATGTGGTACAATACATATATGATGTTGACTAGTGCGTGTCGTGTGTGTGTGTGTGTGTGTGTGTGTGTGTGTGTGTGCGCGCGCACACGTGTGTGTGCGTGCGTGTGTTAAGCCGTGGATGTTCTTCAGTCCTTAATCCGCCCTTGTCTACATTCATACACATTATAATGAGGTAATTATTAAGGGTAACATTCACTTCACATAAGTATTTTAAAACATTCATAAAACATCCTCACAAAGAGGTAACCATCTTAGTGTCTGAAAGGAGTGACGTCTGAGAGATGTTTTGATAAAGCCCTCAAACGTATCAAATTCTGATTTGCCAAATCTGCCAAGTTAATCAACAATGTGGTTTTATTAAAACAGGAATTACTTACCGATTAATTCAGTTTCCAGCTGACTCCCGATTCGGCCAAATCGGGGAAGAAGCAATTTTGTAACCATCTCTTTTGACATCCAGTCAAAAGCCTCTCTACGGCTCTTCTAAGAGCCAGCAACAGCCTTGGACGCAAACAAGCGTTCCAGCTTCCTATTGTGACCTCGAGATATCTCAAGACCAGACTGGTCGTATCGGTGCTAACCTACGGGTTCCTGGTACCTCGAGGTCCATGTCCATCCCGACCTTGTGGCCTCCTGGATCTGAATGGGGATCTTCACATAAGGGTGCGTAGATTCAACAGATTGTGTCGGATGGTTTAATTTATAAATAAATCTCTAGTTTACCAAACAGACAGCCAATTTTATTTTACAACCCAGACTCCACAAATTCTCTCAGATACTGAAGAAATGTTTTGTTAAAACATCTAGCTTCCATTACAACAATCCACACATCACATTAAACCACTTCGTATTCATCTTTCAATTCATATCTTGTCACGTATAATCATTAGTTTAGGGAAAATAAATAAATTCATTTTTTAACTGTATACTTGACTCTGTCTGAATTAATACGAGGTGTGTTCATGGTCCCTGAACAAGTAAAGTTACTATAATCTTCTGATTAAACATTTAAAGATCACTCAGGTTGATATTTCATATTTACATGGGATTATCACATCCCATTGATCATTTTAATAAATATGTAGTTATCATCATGCTACATTTTGTTTTAGAGGATCTTGAAAATGTTGAAAATAATACAGTTTTGTGTTTTAATTGTTGCCATGGTGTTCCTGGATATTATCTTTGGAACTATTGTTTGTGTTATTTGAAATGCCATCCATCCTTTTTTTTACTTGTCCAGGATCAGGTGGAGGCGGTAGTAAATCTCCTACAGAATCCCAAGATGTTCCTAGCCAGACAACATAAAATCCCTCCACTACTGTGTTCTGGGTGTACTTTGGGACCTCCTTAAAATGAGACGTGCCTATAAACCCTCCTATTATTGTTTTTGATGCAGACAAGCAGAATGTCAAATCCAACCTTCCTCTGGATGATCAAGCTCCTCACCTCATCTTTAAGGTTGGACCAAGCATCCTAAAAGAAGAAACTCGTTTTAGGACCTTGCATCTGGGATCTTGTTCTTTTAGTCGTGATTCAAATCTTCTGACTGTAAATGAGGACTGGACCAGGAACTCAAGAGTTTTGCCTTCAGACTCATCTTCTATGGTGTTTGCTAAAGTCACGGACACAAGTCAGTGACTCGATGCGATCTGTTCTTACAAAGGAAACCTTTGACTAATTGGTATAATGAACTGAACTCAATGCACTGATAAGTAGGGTTGGGCATCATTTGATTTTGAACGATTCCGAATCCAATTCCTCGTTTCGAGTCCGATTCCTATCGATTCTGATTCTTTGAAGACATGACATGTTTTACATGAGCCAGCTAACCACAGGTCCTGCTTGATGAAATAATCTCAACTTTAACATGAATTTTAATTCTATGAAAAATGACATCACCTTCATTTAGACTAAAACATGTTTTGGAGAAGAAAGAAAGACTTGCAGCACAAACAGTGTGTTTGTTTCTGACCACAACCAAAGTCTGGAAGGAGCCTCTGGGATGAGAGGCTGAATGTCTCCAACATATCCAGAAACGTGCAGCTGTTTTCAGCTAAAACTCTCAGGATGATCATGTCCAGGATGACTGAGAACTACACCTCCATGCTGCAGCAGCATTCAGTCAGAACAGAAACTTAAATGTAGCTGCTGTCAGTAACAATCTAACAGATTTTAAACATTAAAACTCTCAACAGAAATAGTTCAAAAAGGAAATTAAAATTTTCACAACTTTGTGTGGGATTTCTTCTTCTTCTTCTTCTTATTATTATTATTATCATCATTATTATTTAATGTGGCATAAGCTGGTGTGGTCTACCACAGAGAGGCTGCTCTAGCATGATGACTTTAATTATTCTACAGGTTATTGTTCAGCCTTCTGATGCGCGCGCACACACACACACACACACACACACACACACACACACACACACACACACACACACACACAGCTGCAAAAGGTCAGGCTGCACTTTGTATGAACAACAAAAGAGACGATGTACTGTGGAAAGAAAGAGACAGAGAGAGGACACAAAAGATGAGATGAAAAACTCAGACAGATCCAAGGGAGCAGTGACAGGGTGGGGGGGGGGGGGGGGGGGGGAATGAAAGGTCTAATGCAGCTAAATTATACCTTAGACTCGTCTAGGATTATTACTGAAATGATCTCCTGTACAAAATAATTCCATTATTTATGTTTTCTGTGTGTACTTTGTACACATCTTAGAAACCTAAATTAGGTATTGAATGGAAAATTAAAACAATATTGATTAATCACTAAAAATAGTCATTTTCCTCAAAATACTTCAAAAAAAACCTTTGTCTAA